GTGGTTAATAACATTAATCAGTAAACGCATCAATTTTGTTCAGTCTCTTTGTTTATTAATAAATAAAAATATCATACTAAAATTGCAGAAACATATTTGTTTGTATTGGTCTGGGTATTTTCTATCTATAATATGTATGACATATGTACGGGGTTCTGTATCGAAAATTACTATGAGCATCACACGCGGTTACCTGCATACCTCTGTGCACTCATGGGAGTTCAAGCAGAGGTCCCTAGAGTTTGACTTTGAGCTTTGTTTATAGTCATTACGAAGCAGACTGATGGGAAACTGCACTGTCTTGAATTCTAAAGGGAAATTTGACGGTGTTAGGGGAATTCTAGGAATAAATACAGTCTCCTCATTGAGATTGAGACATTTCAATTTGAGATTTCACTTGACATTGAACACAATCTGACATGGAGTTTTCAAACACTTGTAAAAATAAAAGTAATTAAATCAAAGGCACTAAGTAGTATAGTATTGATATCAACTTCGAAGAAAATGACTGCCAAAATTACTTTCTACCCGTTCCACACGTCTTTCATGAATTATATTAAGGAATTGTTAAGCTAAATTTCAAGTAGATTGAACCAAGGAATCATTTTGTCCCATACAAACTTTGCCCCCTTTTTTCACCCCCTTCATTTCATGACCCCATTTCGGAAAATATTTTCTTATGAGATGCCTACGTCATACAAAGAACACACCTTCCATCATTTAGGTCTCTACGATATCCGTCAGTCATTTAGGACAAAGCATTTTTATTAGTTGTCCCATACTCTATCGTTCCAGGTATGTCATTGACAGGAGGGCGCTACTATCTTAATGGGTTATTCATTAGTCCCAACTTTAAGCCACTTGACATTTCAGAATCGTTTGACTTTAGATACCTAAGCGATTTGATATTCGGAGTCTTTTAATGAAATCAAGTTCTGAAATAACTTGAGGTGTTGTACCCGATCAAGCTTTTCAATGCAGGACAGTTAAATAGTTTTATTATGAAATTCTTCTCTAAGTATTAATTTGTCAGAGTAGGTAAAGGCTCCATGAGAGCAAAATTCAGCTTTATAATAGTTTTTATTTAATTTTTTTCTTGAAATATTTGACGCCTTGTAATCTCTCGTTAATATAGGTCCACACAAATAAAGAATGTTAGACTTCGACTTTAATAATTATGCTCTTACATAATTATAAATAAACTAGCTTTCCGCCCGCCGCTTCGCCCGCGTGGAATTTTTCGGTTTTAATATAACCTATTACACTCAGATATAATGTGGCTTTCTATTGGTGAAAGATTTTTTAAAATCGGTTCAGCAGATCCCGAGATTACTCCTTACAATTTAACAAATACCTACACAAACACACAAACTTTACCTCTTTATAAATTAGATAAAGATAGGTAATTTGAAACCCTATTTTGTTTTGTTCTTTTTTTATTTTTAATATTTCACAATCCAAACCAATATTTACTATAAATAATAGTAAATATAAACTAATATTTACTATAAATACATAGTAAATATTACTTTGGATTGTGAAATATCTTATCCTACTTATAATACAGTGTGAGTCACGTTAAAGTGTACATATGAAAATAGATGAAACTAGACCTATTTTTATCGACAAAAAAGAGATCAAAAAATTTTAGAGATTTTTTTTTTATTTTTTTTAGAATTTTTTTTTCTTCCAATTACTTTTTGTAAAGAAAACGTAATAACTTTTAAACTAAGCGGTATATCCTGATAAAATAAAAACAGTAATAATGCTAAATAACAGGCGATACTAAAAAAATACATAAAATATACAAAAAAGGCCAACAAATAATAAAAAATGATACTTTTTGAAAAAAATTTGCTTTTAAATTCGTATTTTTTTGGTTATTTGATAAATTTCTCCAAAAAATGCCCCCATATCCGGTGGTTTTTATTACTTTTTATTATTCTCCATCGTATTACTTTTGTAAAACCAAAAATCGCATGTCTCTATCCCTATCACAACATTTGCTATGATCGTTTGAACAAAGGCCTGCCACCAAATTTTTCTCCGCTACAGGTAGAGACAATTTTAATTTTAACTAAAATGCTTATTTTACTTCGCAATCTTTTGTTTTTATTTGAAATCTAACTTGTCTTTATCAAAATTACAAATCTAGAGTCACTTTCAGTTTTGTTGTTGACGAAGCGTTGAATGGCGCGCCCGGAGAGGCTTAGTTCAAACGATCATTGCAAACGTTGTGATAGGGATAGAGACATGCAATTTTTGGATTTACAAAAGTAATACGATAGAGAATAATAAAAAGTAATAAAAACTACCTGTTATAGGGGCATTTTTTGGATAAATTTATCAAATAACCAAAAAAATACAAATTTTTAAGCAGATTTTTTTCATAAAGTATCATTTTTTATTATTTGTTGACATTTTCTGGGTATTTCATATATTTTTTTAGTATCGCCTGTTATTTAGCATTATTACTGTTTTTATTTTATCAGGATATACCGCTTAATTTAAAAGTTATTACGTTTTATTTACAATAAGTAATTGGAAGAAAAAAAAATCTATAAAAAATTAAAAAAAAATCTCAAAAATTTTTTGACCTCTTTTTTATCGATAAAAATAGGTCTAGTTTCATCTATTTTCATATGTACACTTTAACGTGACTCACACTGTATTATAAAGGCGAAAGTTTGGATGTTTGGATGTCATGATGTCTGGATGTCTGGATGTTTGTTACTCTTTCACGCAAAAACTACTGAACGGATTTTGTTGAAACTTTACAGTATTATTGTTTATAACCCAGATTAACATATAGGCTAACTTATGACGATATGAGACAAATAAATTTCAATAAATAAATAAGACGTGTCTAAAAAGCGCCATCTACCTATCGTCATTGGTTAAAATCTACAGCGCTGGACAAACTACTGTATGACGTGCGTAAATATTCATTCGGGGGAAGCCGTGAAACGCAGATGGCGTTTCAACATGATATCTAACGGGGGTAAAACGAGGTCCACGCGAACGAAGTCGCGGGCGGCCGGTAGTTTATAATAGGTAGCTTTCCCTCCACAACCTTATTGGTATTCCATGTATGTGTCTTTTAATTGATTTCTGTTAAACATTTCATGTAAAATTTGTCCAGTTATAACTCCATTTACATCTGCATCTGTAAACAAGCAAGGGTTCATGTTCTCCAGCCCAGATGCCGAGTAAACAGAATCGTCTTTCAGTGACGTGCAGCTGCCCCTATATTTGACCCACTGACCTAATTTTTTATTATTTATTTGTATCAGTGTGCTCTTCTAAAGAGTGTAAGACGATTGTATGTAGGTACTATTAAAATGTAATTTTAACTCATTGGTTTTGTCTCATATTTGAGGAATGTACTATGTATCATGAGTAGAGACTTCGTTTAAAAGGATGCAAACGATTTAAATTTCAATAGGTAGACAAAATTGATATTTCTTAATTATCAAAAATTTTAGCTTTCTCCAGTAACACTGATATTATTATACTGTGACTCATCAAAGTCATCATTGTCAAAAATATTGACAAATCGCGAACTGTCACGGCCAAAAAACTGACACGCGTCCGTCCTCCGTAAGCGCCACCGCGCGACTGATTGAGATTGTCCAAGCCGTCATGGACGATTTTTTCCACATTTTTTAACATAGTAACTAAATAAGACGCAATATAAAAATTTCATCCGTTAAAAGCCCTCAAGTTATTTCTGAACTTTAGTTTAGTAAAAGATTTAGAATCTCAAATCGCTTATTTTAAAAATAAAACCATAATTAGAAAACGAATAGAGGTAACTTTGGGAATTTATTCTATCGAGTCAACTTCATCAAATCGTGTTTCCATCCGTTAATAGCCCTAGAAAATATCCTCAACTATGCCCAATAAAAATCTTAGCCTTTAATTTTACTGTTTAGTACCTCAAAAATGAAAAATGAAAACCTCATTTTCGCCATTTTCTCTGTTACCCGGCCTTAAATCATTCTGTTTTCAATAAAAAATCAACGCGTCCCCATCATGGGACGTCTGTTTGTCTTTGTTCCGGCTAATTTTAGAAACGGCTGGGTCGATTTTGATGAAACTTTCATGGAAAGATCACTGTTGTAATGAAATAATAATTAAATGCCTACTTTCTCAGGGTTATTGAAATCAGCCTGCCTGATAGATCGAAAAATGAAAACATGAAATTGTGAACAAAATCCGTGAAAGATAAAATACTGAACCGTATGTAATATAATACAGGGTGAAAATTATAAGTGATCTCTCTCGATTATTTCTAAACTCGCTCCATGATGAATAATTTACTAACCAGTGTTTCTCAATGTAAGTGAATGTATATTATGTAAATATAAATGTCTTAAACCGTAAACTACACAAGATTTCGAAAATATACTGATCCTGAAAGTGCTTCAACAGCTCCTAAACGGTATCAACTGGATCTATCCGAAAATTCAATGTTTCCAGCTTCCATACTTCTAGTACAGCCACACAATATAAAAAACTGTACGTTAGAAATAATCGAGTGAGATCACTTATCGTTTCCACCCTGTATTTTTATTAATAGTAATACCTGTGGTAATACATACTGAAATTCAAGTAACAAAGCATTTAAAGGAAAATTAATAAATAAAACAAGTAAATATTTTTAGGTGATGTATTTAATTAAAAACTCAATAAATACTTAAATTGTAATACTTGAAAAGTGGTAACTTATGACATAGTTGAACTGTAGCTTACCAAATTAATCCTGTAATATAATTTCAGTGTTACCATCTTAATACAAAAGCTACCAAATTAGTAGTTTTAGAAATAAACTATAACAGTATTCTTACATTTAAAAGTTGATGTCGATAAATAAAATGATGAAAAAAGATCTAAAATTAATACTTGGTGTCTAATTTATACAATTATTGTCTACTTTATTAAATCTAGAAAGAAAATGGATTGGAAAATTCAATACACATTTCATGATTTATTATTCAAATTATAAATTGTATGTTGCCATCTGTAAGGTATCTTTAAAAGGACTGTAATAATAAAATTGTACATTATTATACTAAGGCAACATTGTCAGCAAACATTTTAATATGGCAACATTATCTTACATTTTTTTCATATAACATTGCAAATACAGATTACAATATTATTAGAGATCTAAAAATTCCAGCAGAATTAAAATTATTAAAAAAATGACACATTTGTTCTTTCTAAAATCAGCACTGCGATTTTACCCATAAAAGTGGCAAATTTTTCACCCCTGGCAATTTCACAGAGGGTGTTACATCGTAGCTGGTAAACGAATACACCGATTTAGATGTTTTTTTGAATTATTGGAGTCAGGTTTTTTATTAAACTGAATTTTTCACACTGGCAATCTAATGATCCAGTCCAATGTTGCCCATGATAGACTGAACGACTTCGGTAGACGAAGCAGTGCCTCCAACGTCAGGTGTGACAATTCTATCGATATTGATCGTTTTGTCGACAGCGCGGCGGATCATATCGGCGTGGAAGTGATGTCCCAAGTGTTCTAGCATATCGATGGATGCGTTGATCATCGCGATTGGGTTGGCGATGTTTTTGCCGGCGATTGCGGTACCTGGAAAATAAATATAGTATAAATGTTGAATAGGGTAGTTAGCATTACTAGACGTCCCTTCAACGATCTTAGCTGCCTATCGCAATATCAGTGTTAACAACATGGGGGAAAGGTGACCGAGTTTCTTCCGCCACTTCTTCTCAGCACCAGCCCATATGTTGTCCCGAAGTGGTGGTAGGGCAAGCTATATTTGAGACGTGTATAAACGCCCTGGAAAGGGCCAAGTACTGAATAAAGGGTCAGCTTGACTCAGGGGGCACTCTAGCCTGGAGTTACGGATGTCCAACTAGGACAATAACTCGCGGCTCCGTTTCTTTGGGCTCTGGTGGAAACCGTCGGGTTTTAGTGGGTAGGCCCCGCCTTTAGTGGGTAGGCGGGGACAGTCCCACATAACCCACTGGCCGTCTCCATCGACCAGTGGGTATGCGCACTCGCATAGAGGGCAGTTTTTCCCAGGAGGATATTCTGGGCTGGAGGGTTATCTGGAGGGGCATTCTGACCTATAGGGGGATTGTGGCCTACAGATGAGGAATTTGGCCTATAGAGCCGCTTACCTAGGGCGACCGTCGGGCCCAGGCGTGCGTTCGGTCTAAAGGGGATAGTCTGGTCCAAGAAAGGGTCAGTCAGTCAGTCTGGCCTAGGGAAGAGGGAATCTGGCCTGTGGGAGTATGAATCCAACTTGTGGGAGGGGGAATCTAACCTCGTTTCAGCCAAATGACGTCCACTGCTGGACAAAGGCCTCCCCCAAGGTTTTCCACAATGTACGGTCTTGCGCTGCCCGCATCCAGGCTTTTCCCGGGACCTTTACCAGATCGTCGGTCCACCTAGTAGGCCTGCCCTCGCTACGTCTTCCAGCCCGTGGTCGCCACTCGAACACTTTCCTGCCCCAACGGCCATCGTCTCTACTAGCTATGTGCTCCGCCCACTGCCACTTGATTTTAGCAATTCTGCGAGCTATGTCGGTGACTACCGACTACACTACAGACTTACCGGTGTTCCTAGTGCCAGGCTCAAACACAGCGTAGTGGTCACCATAATTTCTGCCGGAGAGCAGACCAGCTCCTCCCAGAAGACCGCAGACAACGTTGGACACGATAGACCCGTACAGGTTGGTCATTAACATCACGTCGAATTGGTGGGGCCTGCGTACAAACAGAAAACACTATTTAACAATCGTCAATTCTTGCTATATCTGTTACGGTCAAAGTGATAAATGTGAAAATTATGAATAATCGCCGGTTATTATGAATAATTACCGCATGATTTGGTAAATGTGATTAATATGAGGTCATTTATGTGTGTATAAAACTAAATAGGCGGCTTAGGGGTGGCCCAAGGGCCACCCACTCACACATACACTCACTCACTCCGCGCGCGCCATCCCCCTTACTTTGTTACTACAGATATGTTACTTAGTATACCTAGTTGATATTATGTAGTATTAGTGCTTACTTTTATTTTTGTATAAGTACCTATTGAATTGTATTTACGCACACACAATATTCCAAGGAAGAGCGATGTCTCCTGGCACAGGCTTCTTTAAGCTTAAAAGGAGGCATCGATCATTATTAATTATAAGCAATTCCGCTGGTAATGAAATAAAGATTTATTATTATTATTATTATTATTATTTATCACTTTTACCGCGACTGTCGGTAATTATTCATAATAACCGGTTATTATTAATAATTTTCAATTTATCACATTAACCGTAACATATCTATAAATAAACATAGGTACCTAGTTTTGGAGCTCGGAACCCCGGATTTAGGCAGGTACCTATCCTTACATCTATACACATAAAGTAAATAACTAATTAGATAAATAATACACTGGCAAAATTCGGTGCAACCACGACTGGCTCCCCGATAATCCATGATAAATTTTGTCAGTGTGTGCGTGCGCGCTCACATACAAACCGCGCTCGGTGCGTTTCTATGAAAATAACCTACTCATTTGTATTTACTCTGCCGCAACCGACCAAGGAGCATTCTGGCCAAAATGGCAGTATGACCCAAGGGGTATTCTGGCCTAGAAGGGGCTGTCTGGACCTGGAGGGCAGTCAGGGTGGGGGGTAGTTTAGACAGCCTGGCCTAGAAAGGCAACATAACACAAGGAGCATTCTGGCCTAGGGGGCCAGTTTGACCCATGGGGCATTCGGACCTAGGAGGGGAATTCTGGCCTAGAGGGGGCAGCTTAACCCAGGGGTCATTCTAGCCTAGGGGGCAATTTGACCCATGGGACATTCTGAAATCTGACCTAGAGGGAGCAGTCTCACCCAGGGGGAATTAGCCTAGGGGGCAGTTTGACCCATGGGGCATTCTAGCCAAGGGGGCAGTTTAACCCAAAAAGGCATAATAACCCAGGGGAAATTCTGGCTTTAAGAGGGCAGTTTGACCCATCTGGTAACTCACTTGGCCACGAGCTGCATGCAGCAGTTGGCGATGATCATGTCGTTGTGCTCGATCTCCGGGTACTCCTTGGCCATGCGTCTGGAAGTGTCTAACTCACTTGGCCACAGTAGCGGCGTAAGGGCGGGGGGCGGTGGGGGCGGTCCGCCCCGGGTGCCAAGCATCAGGGGGTGACAAAAGTCGCGCAGATTAGTACTCACTGGCGCATCTGCATGGAAAATCTGCGGTCTATGTCAGATACGGGGGGGTGCTGTTGTCTTTCAATCTTCGAATCGGTAGGTAACCCCAAAATCCTGGGGGGTACCAGGGGGCCTTAGGACTTATGACGGGGGGGGGGGGGGATCGCCCCGGGTGCCAACCCATGCTACGCCGCCACTGCTTGGCCATGCGTCTAGAAGTCTGTAACTCACTTGGCCATGCGTCTAGAAGTCTGTAACTCACTTGGCCATATTTGGACATGCGTCTAGAAATCTGCAACTCACTCGGCCACGAGCCTAGAAGTCTAGAAGACTAACTCACTTGGCCACATTTGGGCATGCGTCTAGAAGTCTGTAACTCACTTGGCCACGAGCCTAGAAGTCTCAACTCACTTGGCCACGAGCCTAGAAGTCTCTAACTCACTTGGCTATACTTGGCCCTGCATCTAGAAGTCTCAACTCACTTGGTCACGAGCCTAGAAGTCTCTAACTTACTTGGCCGTACTTGGGCATGCGTCTAGAAGACTAACTCATTTGGCCATGCGTCTAAAAGTCTGCAACTCACTTAGCCACGAGCCTAGAAGTCTCTATCTTACTTGGCCATGCGTCTAGAAATCTCAACTCACTTGGCCACGAGCCTAGAAGTCTCTAACTTACTTGGCCATGCGTCTAGAAGTCTCAACTCACTTGGCCACGAGCCTAGAAATCTCTAACTTACTTGGTCATGCGTCTAGAAGTCTCAAACTCACTTGGCCACGAGCCTAGAAGTCTCTAACTCACTTGCCCATACTTGGCCTTGCATCTAGAAGTCTTAACTCACTTGGCCACGAGCGTAGAAGTCTCTAACTCAATTGGCCACGAGCCTAGAAGTCCCAACTCACTTGGCCACGAGCCTAGAAGTCTCTAACTCACTTGACCGTACTTGGCCATGCGTCTAGACGTTACCAAGAAGAGGCCGTCGGACAGCTTCATGATGTTGGAAGATCGTGTACACACACTCGTGTCACCTCGCAAGGAACATCTAGGGGAGAAATCTGGCCCGTGGGGGGCAGTCTGGCCTAGGAGGGGCAGCCTGACCCATGGGGCATTCTGACCTAGGGGGCAGTTTGACCCAGGGGTATTCTGGCTTAGGAGGGGCAGCTTGACCCAGGTGTTATTCTGGCCTAGGGGGCAGTTTGACCTAGGGGGCATTCTGACCTAGGAGGAGCAGACTGGCCTAGAGGGGGCAGCTTAACCCAGGGGGCATTCTAGCCTAGGGGGCAGTTTGACCCATGGGGCATTCTAGCCTAAGGGGCAGTTAGACTCAGGGGTATTCTGGTCTAAGGGGTATTCTGCCCTAGTTTGGGGGGCAGTCTAGCCTAGAGGGGCAACATGACCCAGGGTTTTTTGGTTTGGAGGGGGGGCAGTTTGTCAGAGGGGGGCAGTTTGTCGGAGGGGGGAGGGTGGGGTTACTCACTTGGCCACGAGCTGCATGCAGCAGTTGTCGATGATCATGTCGTTGTGCTCGATCTCCGGATACTCCTTGGCCATGCGTCTGGAAGTCTCCAGGAAGAGGCCGTCGGACAGCTTCATGATGTTGGCCTTGTGGACTGTGGTCACCTGCGGACAAGTCAAATCGAATTAATTTATGTGGAATTTACAATAGAATAGAATAAAAAGTATTTATTTGTCTCAAAACAGGTTTCATTTAGTTTTTCACAGATACAAAAAATCATAAGAGACAAAAAGGTCTATAACTCAGTGATTGCAGGAGACCCACAAACCCTGTTATTCTGCCATAGCCAAGATGTACATAAGTAAATTAATATTAATTTATATATAAAATTACAATTTCCTAAAATTACAAATTGCTATGTGAAGTTACAATTTAAGGATTTGTTAAAGTAAATGCAGTTCGCAATTCGCATTATGTACGATTATTTTGACCTGACTGCAGACCGCATATTGTGTGTGTGTAAAACCGTTGTGGCTAAACGCAAACTAAGAAAGACAAAAAAAAAGACTGTCATAAAAATTACCTTTGAATTATTAAACAATAATAGTCATAGTAAATTGGTGGTCCAATAATGGTTTTTAAATATTTTTTTCCGAAAATAACGTTCGAGCAAACGTTATTCGTGCAAATTATAGGATGTCTAGTACGTAGGCCAGCTATTTATTGTTGATACCCCTGTATTCTGTTCAATTTTTAATTTTGTCAAACTTTATTGTCGACGTTGTACCTAAATATTTCCATTATATTAAACATGGGCGATGATCTGTTATGAGAATCATAACCCTAAAATATTGTTCGCGCATGTCTTTCGCGCAAATGTCTATTCCCTCAAGCTTTTTGAAGGTCAGGGTTTTTTCAAGGGTCGTTTTAAATTGTAACTTACGCCAGTATTCACAAACGATGCTTGCATAAGAGTAGGCGCACACCGTTGATTTTTCGTCGGCCGATAGTTTAGTCGGGCAGTTGATCAGTATGGGCATGTATGGGAGTGCGCACACTACGCCGATTCGATTTGGCCGTTTCTTCATACAATTTAAAATCGGGCACAACTATCGGCCAACTAAAAATCAACGGTGTGCGCCTACTCTTAGTGATGCAGCAAATCGATCGCACAGCTGCATTTTGAAGTTGAATAGAACTCTGTGATTGGTTCGCGTTGTGCGTCCACGGGCACTGTGAGGCCTCATAGTAATGTTTGTGAACACGGGCGTTATTGTAACATTTATTCTTACCTTCTTCCTGCCATTCTTCCTGGCGAATTCGAAGGCGAACCTCGCCACGCGTTCCGAGTTGCTAGCAGTGACCACCTTCATAGACTCGATGACTCCTTGCACTGATTCGTGTTCCAACATGGCGTACTCGCCTTCTGTGTTCTGTCTGTAACCAAATATAATAATTAATCATCATTTTTTGCATAATAAAGCCCGGTCTCCGAGCACGTAGAATTTTGTCCAATGACCCCAAGCTACCCATCCTTATCGCTCGCGAGCGATAAGGATGGGTAGCTTGGGGTCATTGGACAAAATTCTACGTGCTCACAGGCCAGGCTATAGACCCTTGAACATGGTACAAGAGGCAATCTGAATGCTATATTGAATTCTCTTCCAGTCAACACTTTTATAATGAGCTTCTGTTGAGCAACCTTTGGTCCCACCAAAAATAATTACAACTTATTCGTAACTGCGAAAGATCTAAAACGTTTATTTAACGGTAAGTGACATTGACGTAATGTCAATGTCACACTAGAAACGTCAGAATAGAGGGACGCGCGCCGGACAACTGGCTGGCTAAACCAGTGTGCTTCAAATACGCACCATTGAAGTCATTTATAGCCTGACCAGGAACATAAAAACCCTGGCATAGAGGCGCTTCAATTGCATTTGATAGTGCAACACTGGGTACAGTCGTACCTGTATTAAATTAATAGGCTAACTTTATGTATCAGGATTCAGGAGTATAGGCTAATTTAATATTTTCATAAATTAACATAAACATATTATATTATAGGTAAACTGGTTTAAATAAATTAAATGAAACCATCAATCGAGCAAGTAGGATTTTATTATTATTCATCAATAATCAAATTCTGAACTTGAATATTCAACTACAATGTCTGCTCATGAACGCTTCAAACTCGGTACTTCTTTCCCAATTCCATAAAATTCAATACTTACAAAGTGACAAAAAACTTTAAAATAGTTAGTTGAAACAAACCACAGCTAATTTTCATAGTTGACTGTACTATACGATAAACATGTCAGTCAATTTGACAACCTTTGTCGGAAACATTATTCAATGAAAATATTGTCCGAACCCATAGTATTTCTCTTCGACAAATACTTTAACACATTGTGAACCACTTTTCTTTCACGACTATAAAAAGATTTTAGCAATTTAATTCACAAAATCAATTGCGCACATTTAAAATAAAGTTTGTTTACACTTTGACAGCAATAGACTGACATGCAAGGTGACATGTCAATGAAGTTTTCAGTTACTGTTGCCATTAAAAGAAATTAGTACCATTAATTTTCCGCAACATGGCGAGGGTTTTTATGTTCCTGGTCAGGCTATAAACAGAATAATAAGACTCCGCGCGCTTTTGTGCTAAGTGAGGAATTTTATTTAAAATAATGCAATAATGTAAAAGTGAAGTATCCAGTGTTTTATTTATGAGAATAGATCTACCCTTACCTGATGATGACCACATCGATGTCCTTATGCCTCGTCGCCACCCCGGGGAAGGATTTGCAGTTCAGCACATATGCATACATGTCAAGTTCGTTGCGGAGAGCCACGTTGCGTGACGTCACGTACGCCGCCTCGCTCTTGGTTTCAATGTTGCCCTGTGAATAAATTGTGAGTGATGTTTCATATAAAATAAACCACAAATCGTTTTTACATCGTTCGTTCGTTCGTTTCAGCCGAAAGACGTCCACTGCTGGACAAAGGCCTCCCCCAAGGATTTCCACAAAGACCGGTCCTGCGCCGCTTGCATCCAGGTACCTTCCGCGACCTTCACCAGATCGTCGGTCCACCTAGTGGGAGGCCTGCCCACGCTACGTCTTCCAGCTCGTGGTCGCCACTCAAGAACTTTCCTGCCCCAGCGGCCATCAGCTCTTCGAGCTATGTGCCCCGCCCACTGCCACTTGATTTTAGCGATTCTGCGGGCTATGTCAGTCACTCTGGTTCTCTTACGGATCTGATTCGATCACGCAGGGAAACTCCGAGCATAGCACGCTCTACATAATGAGGTTTTACATAATGAGGGTTTTCACGAATGAAAAATCCGCTAGATGGCAATACGTAGACGCGAGGTCCAAATGCTGCACGATTGGTTATTATTGACATGACATTGACAGATATGTCAAAATCCAACAATCACGCAGCAGTCAGACCCCATATCCACGTCCCGCCATCTAGCGGATCTTTCATTCGCGAAAACCCTCATTAAGCATAACATAGATGCAATAAAGTATTGGGTATTGAATACATCTAAATAATACAGGTCATTTATTAAGGCCGAATAGCACCATCTTACTTTAACTTTGACAAACGTCAAAAATCTATCAAACTCCATACAAAAAGCACCAGTTATTGTTAGGCGGTTATCACACTGCGCCGCGCTCCGCCGCGGAGCGCGTTATTTTCATACAAAATATCACGCGCGCGGACGCGTTGTCAGTGTGAAGTGCCGCGCGTGTTTTCTATACAAACTGAGGTACTTGCATACAATGATTAAATCTGTCGCCCCGCGCTCCGCGGCGGAGCGCGGTGCAGTGTGATAACCGCCTTAAGGTACAAATACAGGGTGTTACTTTGCATTCTTGCCATATTTACAGAGGTGACTACATTACTGATACTGATCACAAATCCGTTAAAAAATAATGCCCGAAAAATTTTTTTTTTAATCTTGAGTATTTTATTTTATCGACAATCTGTTAAAGACATCACTAATTATCGTAACGCATGCACATCACTTGTTGGCGATGGCGATGAAGACTTTTTTACTTTTTATTGTATTTTTAAATATCTATTGCAATCTATTGTCTTTAAAATGTCTTTTTGACACTTGTAAAAAACTGAGAAATCCATCAATCACAAATCACGTTATAAATTATACAAAAATGTCTGAAGTGTATTCAAACAACGAATAATTTAATCAAAATGGTGCCTGGAGTGTCTGCAAGACGTCTTAGACGAAATGCTTGATGACGTACCCTTAGCGTTACACCAAATGCTCTACTAGCAGCAGGATGGTGCTCCCCCACAATAAGGACGTCAAGTGCGCGAATAATACGTTTGGTGATCAGTGGATTGGACGAGTGGTCCAGTAGCTTGACCACCACGATCCTCGGACCTGACACCAATGGATTTTTGGCGTGACTTGAAACGACTGGTATGCGCAGAAGAGATAAACAGTGTAAACGCGTTACATGAAAGGATTGTTTTAGTGAAACTGTAAGACAAAACGTTTATGTGTTGCGAAAACTAAAGCGGAAAACCTACGCTTCGCCGTGCTAGACTGTGCATTCATCAGAACGGAGGACACTTTGAACACTTGCTTCGCAGTACGTAAACTTTGTAAGTAGGAACTTATAAATAAATAATTAATTGTGAATAAGGTGATTTCATTTCATACTTAATTTATTAATTTGTAAAAATAGGGTACAATGTTAAAATTAATTAAAACCCTAATAATTATTACGTATTTTTGACGGTCCTAAGCCCGTAAAGTAGAAACTGAGAGTAGAAAGGAAAATCTGAAATCAACTGAAGAGTATTTTAAAATAATTATTATGACTGGATAAAAAGGCTGGTACCCAGAGCCATAAAACAACAGATTATTAAGAACTAGGCCACGCCCACTAGGTTTATTCCACTTGCACCTGTAGAACGTGCGAGACAAAATTGGTTTATTCCGATTTGTACTGAAAAACCAAATTTACTAAAATCTTAGTGTACTTTCTTTATGGGAGTCTCTTGTTTATCTTAAATAATAGGTATTGTTCCCTACTTTTATCTCTGTGAATATGGCAAGAATGCAAAGTAACACGGTGTATAAGGTGGGGCTTAGTCTCTCCTGCAAGAGTACAACCCTCACCACAGGCAAATGGAGGACATGGCTACACTCTCCATGCTGGCCAGATGGTTTGCGAAGGCTTTTTTTCAGGCATATCAGGAGAAAATCATAATCCATAGTATTTTAGCCATAACTCATTAGGAGGACTATCAATGTCTAAGTACAGGAAGGAAACCTTTATATGTATTGTTTTTATTTTTGAGGTAGCAGGATTACAGAATGGTGAACCTACTTCACAACACCCTTATTAAATAAGTAATTAAATTAACTATGTACCTTGAGGCCCACACCGTTCCTCTTGATCGTAGTGATAGCATACTGGACATCATCGTCATTGTCTACTGTGGGGTCGATATCCACTACTTCGAAGTCTACGGGAGCGCCGATGTACCTGTAATTATTAATTTTTGAACATGATCAAGATCTGGGATAATGTGGGATTTTCGTGGTGGAAGATTTTTTCAAATCGGTCTAGTAGTTCAGAGCCTATTCAATACAAAAAATCATCAAATCTTTTCACTTTATAATAATAGTGTAGATGTTACGTCCATTTGCAATAATCGACACTAATATTTACAAACAGTTTACTAATTTCTTTTATCTAAGTATATCCTTAGATAAACAATGCTCAAATCATGTGACTTATTGATTTGTATGATTAATCACATCAAGGTAGGCTTAAAATTATAATCTCAGTCTACTGTTTTACACTGCATTTGTCATTATTTTTTCTCATGATGCTAATACAATAATCATCTTCAAATTCGTACATAGATGGTAATGAAAAGACAACAATAATGCTTCGTGACATTATAGAGTTAACATTTCCAGCAAATTGATATTACCTTGAGTATCATATTTCTACAGTTCATCACAATAGTACTTCTAATAATAGTAGTACTTTTCATTGTCTTAACAGAAGGCCCACTGACCAAGATTTTAGAATATAACATTTTTTTAGGCACACTGGTGCATAGTATTCTAACCTGTTATAGAATCAGCTGATTCTAAAACGCATGAGATTTAAAATGAGTCGTGAAGGATAATAGCACTTATTAGGACATACTACGGCTCGTGGTGTCTGTTTAAACTCTGAAATACTTGTAAAAATAAACAAATGATGGAAATTTGTAGCTTCTGAAGACGATAGGTTATACTCACTTGAAAATGTCTCTGACGTAGCCCATGCATTCTGGACCGATGCCACCGCCTGGGAGCATAGTAACTGCGTGTCTTCCACCATACTGGGCCTTCGGGATCAGCGTTTGTTTCCTGATAACTGGAGTTTTGTGCTGAAGATCGAAATCTGACAAAGTAGCGGGCGCTGCAGCAGAGCTCGCGTACGTCGCCTGCACTTGGGGTAGAACCCTCAATTTGGAGAACAACCTCACAGCCATACTGATTAAAATTCACTCACAGGCCGCGAAAAACCTATAATTTTCAGATGACAGATGTTAAATAATCACAGGAAAAGGAAGACAGGAAAATTCTTTCGCGATTTTCCCTCACCAGGTGGCGCTGACCTGTCAAAGTTTACTATAGATGGCGTCTGTAGCACAAGATGGCGCTCTAAAGCCCATATACATGTAAACGTCAAAATGTGTGAACTTTTTAAAATTAAAAATATTGAGGTCAACATTCAAAGCATTTAAAAATATTTACATTATCTTCAACTTTTATCCACTATTGGATAGAAATATCATCAAATGAGCGATGCAACTAAAGAATTTAAATATTAAAAATAATTTTGTTGGTGGCAACATCGTGACACTTTATTTTTTCTACTCGAACGTGTCATGGTGCTTTATCTTTCTCTGCCTGCGTTTTCGAGTGCGAGCGGCTGTGGAGCGGGCGTCCATTTTGCTTCGCCATATTGAATTTGGTCGGACATCTTTGGACGCCATGTTTAGTCGGACATATTTTATAAACATTTTCGCGTAAATTTCAAATATTTTTGAGCCTAAATAGCGAACTTTTTTTCACTGAAAACTGTGGCATTGATTGCGTATAGAATTGGGTGGAAAAATTCTGTGCCTACGCAGCAGTCCAAAAGTGTCTCTAGGGGGCCGTGCAGCTTTTGTTACAAGATAAATACAGGTAAATTATTTTCTCCAAACATTGTACTTTTTGACATATCCTAACAAGTGTTTAAAAATTTCTGTGAAATTACGCTAATGTGCGGATTTCTCGAGAATAATATATGAAGGTCATAGGTCCTTCTGTTTGGCTGTACGTAGTTTGGCGTGGTCGTTTTTATATTTATCACGAAATCGAGTTACGTCGCGCCCCGGTGGCCGGTTGCACCGCTGCACCTCGGCACCTGCCGTGATTATACTATGTTTATAAGTAGGATTATAACTTTATATGCGTATTAAATAACCTTATAATCACTTCAAAAGGACAAAGAATTAATTTGTATCACTTTTGTGTACTTTGAAAGCTTTGTTTGTACCAAACTACCGAGTTAGACATCCGAACCCAATCAAAATCTTTTCAGACTGCGTTAAAAACTTGTTTTTCTTGTTGCGCTAACTGGATTTCTTTTAAACATAACCACAATCAAATCTAGTGCGTAAATTATGATAATTGTGGTACACAATGAGAAGTAATTATTGCAAAGATAATTGTATTCTCTGTCTATAACAAGCTAAATAATCTAGCAAACCAAACCTCTTGATAAGTTTTACAAGGTCAAAAAAATATAAACATTTCACTCCAGCTCACATCAATGATTACTTCTGTCGAAAGTAGATTATTGATAAATAAATCAGATCATTAGTAAATTAATTATCTTTCATGATGAAATTATTTCATTAATTTATTTAAATTTTATCATTAGCTAGTAGTGTAGTTAGTTAGAGGCTAAAATTTAATGATTGGTGAAATGTAGAAATCATTAAAAAAATCCAATTTGTAGATTAATCTTAATTTTTAATGTTATTGTTTTTTTTTTGTCGCAATAAAAAATCTAATAATACCTACCAGTCCATAAAAAACATTACTGACAACATCAATGGGAACATAAAGTTTAAAAATACTACTTTAAAATGTAATCAAATCTTATCTCAATGCTAAAACCCTTATTTATTGAATGAAGTCAAACTTTACTATACATTAGTATCAAATAAAATATAATAAATATATAATAATATAAAATACCACCTACTTTTTTTCTTCCCATCAATCAAAAAAATTACTTCCCATCAATCTGCTAACATTTTTTTAGCACTAGTAAACTAACTACTACTACTAACGTAATATTAAGCACTAGAATCTTCTCCAAGAGCGCTTTCACATTTAGGCGATTTAGCAGCACGACAGACGCGCTGCCGAAAATTTCATACTATGTGACAGCGAATGCCTTCACATTATAAAAACGCCGCTGCCGCGCTGCTGTCGTGCTACTAACGCCCTAATGTGAAAGCGCTCTAACTGATCAGACAAAGTAACATCATCATCATCTTAGCCATAGGACGTCCACTGCTGAACATAGGCCTCCCCCAATGCTTTCCATGTTACCTGGTTGGTAGCGGCCTGCGTCCAGCGCTTTCCTACATGTAGCATATGCAAGTAACAACAAATATTTGAAAAATAAACATTATATTTAATTTTGTTCTGCAGAAGGCGCGGTCCAAGATGATGAACCAGGAGATAATGTGCGAGGTGGAGATCGGCACCCACGGGTCTATGGTGGAGATCGATGGGGACGATCAAGTCGGAGTTAAGGTAAGTATTATGCCAAAAAAAAATACATTGCGAGTAAAAGCTGGGGGATCATTCATTTATTACGTATGAGTAATTTTTAACCCTCTCTCCTATAAGAATAGACCTCCCCCCTGTAATAGGCTAGATGACAAAATTAAAATTATTTGCCCGTCAGAAAGATAATTATAAAATATTAGACTCGTTTTTTTTATTTTCTTTCCTAATAAAATAATAACAGTGCTACATCGAGTTGAAATGTGTGTCTGACTAAAAAATCTACTCAAAAGTGACATCACGCGACATTTCAACTCAATATAATATTGTAATAATTCGCTTATGAAAAAATACGTGTCCAATATTTTTTTATTATCTGTCTGACAGACTAAATAGAATTGCGATTTCATTACCCAGTCATCATCCCAATTTATGACGTAAGAAATTAAAAAAAACTTGATACATATTTGGTAATTTTTACTTAATGTGTTAAAAGTTTGGTAATTTTTTTGAATGAAAAAAATGTGGATAAATTAATTGAAATTGTGGGAACTTGTCATTTGAATTATATTCGGCCAGGAGTGGCAACTAGGTACTTGATGAAAATAGTCAAAGTTCAATAAAAAAACTTCTAAACTTCACGTCCAAAGCAGGCTATTCTACTTACTAGTTTCCAACAGTTACCAACAGATGGCGCCACAAGTCAAACAACTCCCCGCTGAAGTAATATTCTTACTTTACAGTACGAGATCGAAGCTGGTCAGTACGAAGAGTACATCACCGATGATCAGTATGAAGAGGTTGAGGAGCAGGTTATTGGCATGCAGCATTTGGAAGAAGGTTAGTTTTACAGGAAGAGAAAATATTATTTTTATGGGTCTTCCCTATTAAACGTTTCGAGTAGGTCGTTTCAGTACCTCTAGCATGAACATCTTTCGTCTTCGAATTGTATGCGTATTCGTCAAAATTCGATACTTAAGCATCGAATTAAACTATTATTTGACAATTTTGATTCTTAAAATAAGTTTTGTGCAACCATTTCTCATACTAAGTTCACTCTACGACACGTTCACAAGGGCGCTGTTGTAGTTTTCGTAATAAATCTTTTGATGGCGATTCGAATACGCAAACGATTCGAACTCGAAAGTTTTTCGTGCTAGCCGTACAGATGAATGTTGTAAAATATCTATTGGTATAATAGTAGTTACATGAAGGCTACTGACAAACTGACAACGCCATTCCTGTGGCGTAGTTTTGCGCTGACGCAGTGTAGGTTTGTTGTCGACACGACAAGAAGAAGAATAGTTGTGATAAAACTTCATTCAAACGTCCGTATTGACTTGCAGTGGGCAGCGAAGAGGTGATACTGCCAGGCATCTCTGGCGAAGAGGTGCTACAAGCAACTGTTGAGAACTATGACGGGCTGTATCCCACACCACCGTCTACTAGCAGGTATTTATAACTCTTCGAAGCCTGAATGCAACCAAAATACTCCAGAAAATGTCCACTAAAAGGGATGATTCCTCTGTATTTAAATAGAAATAGTGTCCGACCGAAACTAGTTTTACGACCGAAACCGATAACGAATTTCGGCAACGGTGTCTATTTCGGCCGAAACCGAAACTTCCCTACAAGGCTCATATTTTGAAGGAAAAATAAAGAAAACGTTATTATAATCAGTCAGTCTATATTGTTTTCTCTTTAAATTGCATTAAAATTGAACTTATAAAGTGCCTTTTTACTCTAAAAGGTATCAAATTATGTATTAAAAAAGAAAAAGAAGGATTTATAGTATAGATTTTTTTTAATTACTCGCAATATTCAGGACATCTACATAACCCGTCCCATGGTCGGGTCTTTTACCTTAATAATTTCTCAAAACAAAATTGGTAGTATGTAAGCTAGTATGTACTGTACTTGCCACTTGGATACCTTGGTAATAAATACTAAAATGAACTTTGAAACTCTGAATCCATAATATTATCACCATGAAATGCACTATAGTCATTACTAACTACTTAACTAATGTTTGTTTACGTATAGCATTTGCGAACCAAAAAAAAATTATAGGTTAGATTAAACTTGATTATACTTTTATCAGTCATATTAAATAATTTTTGTAGTTTACACTCGCTCTTATTTTTTTTTTTAATTCAAAATAAATCACTCGAAAACTCGCCACCACAACAAAACAAAACTAAAGAAAACAAACAAGCGAGCGAATCACGGCATTGGCTCTGATCACTCATTCATTCACTAATTCAACGCGCCGAACATGACCGACAACAGCGCGGAAACACCCGAATGCACATTCGGTTTTGGTCGTAGTTTCGGCAAGTTTGCCGCCGAAAACGAAACTAAACCGAAACTCGTGTTTTTACCGAAACTCAACCGAAAACGAAACCGAAACCGAACATTCGGTCGGACACTAAATAGAAAATCTTTTAGTCCTTCAGATAGATGTTTTAGATGATAAAAATATTTGGATACATTTTTCTTTTCTAATAGTGTAGATTTTTTACAGAGTAGTGACGTCACGTCTATTAACAACTGTCTGACCGACAGAATAGAATATCTATTTAAATACTGAGTAGGAAACTAGGAATATTAAAAAGCGTTAAATTATGAAGGCATATTTTTTTTTACTTCTTTTTCTTTGCAATGGTTTCCAAAACCACGATTTCCCCATTGGCACCTATTATTATCTCCAATCATTAATACCGTGATTCGTTTTTGTTTCAGAAGAGGTCGCGGCAGGCCCCGCGCTAATGCTAACAATAACACCAACAACATACATCATTTGATGCCTATTGGTAAGTTGCATGACAGTTTAACTTTCCCTGATTCCTGATAGATCTTGGCTACACAGGACTTGCAGCGGTGGGAATAGTCCCATATTGGTAAGTTTATTTCACAATAACAGGGTGTGGAACTGTGGATACCCTTTTACGGAACTATTTTCACTTCAACAGATCTACAGTTAAAATTTATGTACAGTCAGCGTTAGATAGATCGAAGCGTCTAAGATAGCCAAAATTATCTGATATTCAATATTTCATATAAATGTAACCATTCAACGTAAGCATAATGTTTGAGGCATCCAAAGTAGTCAATATAAAATATGTTAGCAACACTGTTCTCAATTTTATATGAGCTGTCAGGATGTTCAAAAATATGAACATCCTGTGGCTGAAATGATGATGATGCAAGTTCTTTCGTTTGCATGTTATTGGCTAAAGTTGTTTGGCATTTTGTGTTCGACTTAAAACATTTTTTTTCCATTCCAGGCGAAGTCCCCATGGGTTTAATGGAGGGAGTCAACACAGGCCGAGGCGCCACGCGGCGATGGGAACAGAAGCAGGTGCAGATCAAAACCATGGAAGGAGAGTTCTCGGTCACTATGTGGGCTACGGGGGAAGATGATGGTGAGTGAATAAAACCGACTCTATTTATTTATTTATTTTATTTTATAAAACACAAAGTGCACAAAAAAATCATAATTATTTTCATAGCGATAACACCGCCTAATTGTACCTTATGTGTTCCTTTTCTTTTTACAAGCTTTATATTGTGACTTCACTTGTTAGTATGTGTGGGACAAATCTTGCAACTGAATTTAAGACCAGTTCTCCTCAACCGATTGAGCTGAAATTTGGTATACTTATGTAAGTACGATGACAATGCAATGTTATGGTACCATTGAGCTGGTCTGATGATCAGGAGTGATTGAGGAGTCAGGAGGTGGCCATAGGTACTCCTAAACGAAACGGCGGAAACTTATCAAGTTTGGGTTCATTGAATTCGACTTCCCGAGCACTTTTATGCTAAATCATGACCAGGCCCAGAGATTGAGATAGTTAGAACTAAAAAGTGTAAAATAAAATTATAATAAAAAAAACTTTTTAAAAAACAACCTTTATCCTAAAATGCAGTTGTACTAAAACGAAAAAAAGAATTGAATGCTAGGTTCAAAGAATTTCGAAAACAGAAAAAAGAGGAATAAATTCCATGCGCGATACAAGCTTTCGAAATTCTTTGAACCTAGCATGCAATTATTTTTTTCGTTTTAGTACAACTGCATTTTAGGATTTAGGTTGTTTTTTAAAAAGTTTTTTTTTATTATAATTTTTGTTCTTTTTGTCTGGTGTGCAATAAAGAGTATTTAATATTATTATTAATTTTTACCATGTTTAATATTTTCGATGTCGATGCCAGTCTATTAAATGCCAATTTTACGCTTTTGTAGTCGGAGTATTTTTTTTTATTTCTTGCTTTTTTACGCAATTTCTTTTTGACCTTTTTTCAGCTGTAGTCTAGTGTCTTTTAATGCACTATTTTGTAACTATGGATTCAATATTCTGAAAAAAGTGGGCTCCATTTCCTATGAAGTGTTTTTGTTATGTTTTCAATTTGTATGCGACTTATGATAATCAAATTCAGAATCTATTCAAGTCCAACCAATAGGAATCACGAAAATTATCATATTATAGTTTAATTAAAGAATCAATAATAATAAAAATATATTCCTTTCGCAGATGACGGTTCAAATCCGGAGCCAGATCCCGACTACACAGAATACATGACCGGCAAGAAAAACATATTAGGAAACGAGACAATGCCAGGTAAGTTAATTTATTACTTCTCGGGTTGCCCATCTTACTTTACCAAACAAACCTCAAAAGTCCGTCAAACTCCATATCAAAACCCTGGTTTACCCAGGGTTATATTATAGTTTAAGTTAAGGTGATGCCTTTTAGTCTGAGTCACATTACCTTAGGGGGCGTCCATAAATTACGTGAGACAATTTTGGCCATTTTTCAACCCCCCCGCCCCCCTTGGTGAGATTTGGTGAGATTTTGCCTGACCCCCTCCCCCACCCCCCTAATCTCACGTGATATTTAATAAAATGCCTATTTTCAATGTCTATGCTTCGAGTCTATTAGATTTATATGAAAAAATCAGTAACCCAGTGTCGTGCCACGCGCAGTGCAGGGTTCCGTAGCTTCCCGTCGTTTAGTAAGACAAGCAACCACTTGTCATTTGACATCTGTCAAATTTGACTATTGGTTACTTTAACTACGAATACAATAATGTTTTCATACGTATGTAATGTCATTTTTTAGGGTTCCGTAGTCCTGACAAGGAACCCTTATAGTTTCGATATGTCTGTCTGTCTGTCCGAGGTTTCGCTTGGAAACTATTGGCACTGGGGAGATGTAATTTTGTGAAGGTATGTATGTATATTAATCATGCCGACAAAACGGTAAAATAAAATTTTGAAAAAAAAAATTCTAGGGTAGCTCCCCTGCATGTAAAGTGGGGATGATTTTTTTCAAGGAAAACTATAACGGTTAAGATACATTACTTAGTTTAAGAGTAAAAGTCATTTGATTCATGTATTATACAATTTCTTAACCAGTAAAAATTTCCTTAGAAGAAAATATGAAAAGTTACTTTAGATGAAGTAATTGCTTGCTTCTGAAATATATTGTGGTAACGACAGACAACTACGGAACCCTACACTGCGCGTGGCATGACACGCACTTGGCCAATTTTTTACGCAATAGCGATGCCGATGACGTTTTTTTTAATTTCGAATTTTCTTAATTTCGACATTTATTCTGCATCTTTAGTGTTCACAAATGCAGATGGAGGCATTTTTAATTTGATTAGGCGGTTTAGAATAAATTGTCATTATCATCATAAAAAAATCATTTTTTGTTACTTCAATAACCCAGTTTTCTGGCAATTTTACTCTTTCTCTTGCGGGAAAAATTACGTGATATTTTCCGAGACCCCCCCTCTCCCCCACGTGAGATTTAGTGAGGTTTTCGTTGACCCCCTCCCCCCCCCTAAAAGTCTCACGTAATTTATGGACGCCCCCTTACTATACAGTATAACATTCGACAATATCAGTGCTATGGAGAGGGCTATGCTCGATGTTTCTTTACGAGATCGAATCTGAAATGAGATCCGTAAACGAACTACTCGTTACGTAGAGCGACGGATTAGCAAGCTGAAGTGGCAATGGGCAGGGCACATAGTACGCAGAACTGACGGCCGATGGGGCAGCAAGGTTCTGGAGTGGAGACTACGTACCGGAAAACGCAGCGTGGGACGTCCACCCACAAGGTGGACTGACGACATTATAAAGGTAGCAGTAAGGCGCTGGACGCAGGCCGCTACCAATCGATCAACATGGAAAACATTGGGGAAGGCCTACGTTCAGCAGTGGACGTCCTATGGCTGAAATGATGATGATGATGAATCGACAATAACGGGAGAGGTAGGAATAGTCCTGTAATAACTTACAAATGACTCGTTTTCTGTCCCAGGTTTAGATCTATCGGATCCAAAGCAACTAGCAGAGTTTGCGCGCCCCGGACACAAAATTAGGCTAAAGAAACCTATAGCGGAAACATCGGACAGGACTATTGGTAAGTAAAATATTAAGTTTTAATGTTTCAACTTGTGAAAAAATCATAATTTTGTTAGTTAAAGATGACCCACGCTGAACTGTCCCACCAAACTCAATGACAGGGGAGCGCTATCATCGTTCAACTGTATGGTTTCCAACATGGCAAAAATCGGAACCAGCGATCCGGTATTGACGGTGGCGCCCCGCTGTCAATGTCATGGATAGGACAGTTCAGTATTTTGGAACTATAAACTTTGTATGGAAATAGCTGAGTGTGACGTCAAATGTCACCCGCCCATAGTAACTTGTATGGGACTCTGCGTGTCGTTCTAACATGACCAATGACGTTATGAGATCTCTAACTTTTTTATCTGAGGTATCTTTTGAAATTTTCGTTAAAGAAAAGCACTGATTGATTTGATAATGCCAAGGCTACTGAAATGTGAGAAATAACGATGACTCGATCTTTCTGACAAAAAAAAAGAAAAAGAAAAAGCTAGTTCGCAAATAAAGATGTTTTTATTTGATTTGTACATTGTTGCAGCGTGCCCCCACAAAGGTTGCGGCAAGATGTTCCGCGACAACTCGGCGATGCGCAAACATTTGCACACGCACGGACCGAGGGTACACGTTTGCGCTGAATGCGGTAAGTTTAGTTTCAACCAAAACAATAAAGTTGGTCGCGCGTCCTTTCATTGGTCGCGCGTCCTGTCATTGGTCTCGCGTCCTGTACGGCTAGCACAAAAATCTTTCAAGTTTGAATCGTTTACGTATTCGAATCGCCACCAAAAGATTTAGTACGAAAACTACAACAGCGTCCTTGTGAACGTGTCGTGAAGTGAACATAGTATGAGAAATGGTTGCACGAAACTTATTTTGAGAATCATGATTGTCACGTTATCGTTTAATTCGAAGGTTGAGTATCGAATTTTGTCGAATACGCAAACCATTCGAAGACGAAAGTTGTTCATGCTAGAGGTACTGTCATTGGTCGCAAGTCTTGTCATTGGTCGCGCGTCCCGTCCTGTCATTCCCCCACAAAGGTTGCGGGAAAATGTTCCGCGGCAACTCGGCGATGCGCTATATTCACTATTCTTCGCTACTTCTATTTTTGTTTCACTCTTTTAAACCTTTCGCTTAAGGTGTGTCAATGTATTTTGCAAAAAAAAAAACATTTATCCATCTGATCTAATGAATATATCTGAATGAAAAATTTATTTTTTACCTATCTAATAAAAATGTTTCTTTGTATTTCAGGTAAAGCGTTTGTAGAAAGTTCAAAGTTAAAAAGGCATCAGTTAGTCCACACGGGGGAGAAGCCTTTCCAATGCACCTTTGAAGGCTGCGGGAAGCGATTCTCGTTAGACTTTAACCTCAGGTAAGTTTTCTATATTTTTATCCACAACGAGGAAGCTCTTGGCCTGCATCGTACCTGATGAAGTGATGATCAATCCAAAGGTGTAAGAAGGCATCACTCGGACGGAATACTTAACCTTTAACTATGGACGTGAAAAAATAATCACACTCCCATGGACGTCGGGTCTCACAGACCCCTATCTAAAATTCTTCTTATTTTCATATCTGAATTAATTTGAATTTATTAAAGAGTTGATAAATATCTAACAACTATTAATAAAGGATTTAGTGGTAAATGTAATCATTTTAACCATCATTTAATTACTTTTTTGCAAATTTAAAAAACTTAGACAATTTTCCGTGTTAATTGACTTGCCATCACATATAGGCTCCTTGATTACAGTCGATTATTAATAAATGAAAGTAATATTTTTTTCCTTGCTAATTAATAACCATGTAACATAAAAACATGAACAAAATTTCTGAAGGACCTAAATCAAAAAATTTGACAAGGGCTAAAGTTACTAAAATTATACACAGTGGCCTAGAACACTAAAAACAAATTATCTCTACAGGCATGTGTTATCTTTCTTTGAGAGCTTTGATAGACAAAATGTACACCATTCAGAATCGGAATCTGCAGCAATGGTGAATTCTAAGACATCTAAACTCAAAAGAAGAATCGTCTACAAGTAATACCTTACTCCTGAAATGTTCTTTAGATACTCGGGCTAATAATATAGCTGATGTACTCAGATACTTTCTGCCATTAAGTATTCTTAAACTAGAGCAATTTACTTAATATTATAATAATATAATATACAAAAAAATAGTTGACAAGTCACATCCATACAAGTATGTTTGTATGGAAATTATAGTCATCGGGTCTCCCAGGCCCGGACAAAATTTTGGATGGTTATTACTCACGTAATAAGTGCCGGAAGACGCGATTTTATGCCTCCTCGGTCCAAACACAGCTAAAACTGAAGCTACTGAGATGGTCGAGAGCAGCACGTGGCGGGAAGGTGTTTAAACCGAGAAATCGGAAAGGGGGGTGGGCCTCTGAGACCCGACGTCCATAGCACAGTGTTTTAGAAACCCTCAAAATCGGACATGATTAAGTTAATGCCATGAGTCGATAGCTTCTTATGTTTCAATTACAAGAGTGAAACTCACGTGTGCTCATTTTACTTGGTTTTTGAGAAAAAAATTGTGAAAGTTGGCCGTTTTTAAAATTCCTAAAAATGAAAAAAATGTTTTTTTAATAATTAAGAGGGTTTGTAAACTTGTGATAAAGCTGATTCAATTCATGGACCTATAAAAAAAGGCGGACGGAACTCGCGCTACAACAAAACTGTGACGCAAAATTTTGGCGTTTGTCTATTGTGTGAGTGAATTTAGGGATGCCATGTTAGCCAAAACATTTTACCCATTTATTTTAAGAAAAACATAGTTCGGCAGTTGTTACTTGGAAATGTAGACAGAATTATTCCGTGCCATTTTAAAAGGATGAAAGGTGTATGCATTGAGGTAGGCGCGAAATTTTCAATGTTCAAATTTTCTTACATTGTTTGCAAGTCAGTGTGTCAGGGTATGTTAACTATACTCCGATGAAGGGTTGTGTGTGGCACGGGAAGGGGTCCACACTCGTAGGGCGATTGCTAAAACCCATTTAGCAAATTAAATTGAAAAGAATACCTTTCTCTAAAGCAGTACTTTCATTACTTCAACCTTGCCAACACGAACACCAAGACACCGAAGATACTGGAGATACCGAACACAGTACAGAGGATGAAAAGTCCATAATAATATGAACGACGCAATGTATTTGGCACGGGAGACACGTATTTTTGACGACGAAGTCCCCTTGTAATTATTCTTTAAAACGCCTTATCATATTCCAATACGTCGATGAAACATTGCTATAAAAAATTGTATAGGCGAAAATAAAAAAAAAGAAATTCATATACCTCTGGTACAAGACACGATCCACAAAAGATAAAAATATTTCTACATAGAGGCTATACCAAAGTATTGTTCAGTATGAAATAAAATTGCGGATTCCATTTAGAATGGAAGAAAAAAAATAAAGTCTAAATGATGAAAAATAATTAAAATCTCTGGAACTACTTGACTTGTAGAAATGAAATAAAGTACAATACATGCGTCTTTTAATGATCAATCGAATCAGCTTTATCACAAGTTTACAAACCCTCTTAATTATTAAAAAAAATTTTTTTTCATTTTTAGGAATTTTAAAAACGGCCAACTTTCAAAATTTTTTTCTCAAAAACCAAGTAAAATGAGTACACGTGAGTTTCACTCTTGTAATTGAAACATAAGACGCTATCGACTCATGGCATTAACTTAATCATGTCCGATTTTGAGGGTTTCTAAAACACTGTGCATAGTTAAAGGTTAACCACAAGAACTGACTGTCTTTACCTCTAAGGGCTCCTCCAAGTGTATCGCCCTCGCCCTTTACACTCGCCGTCACCCTTTACGTCAATCAAGAGTAATTATAAGTAACTTGAAAAAAATCGAACTGCCCAATCGTCTGGAATCTAAACCTTTCGCTTGCCGGGCGACAGCTACCATCTGAGCTACTTAGACACTGCATGATTTTTTCAAGCTATTTATAATTTAGTTTGAGAAGCGACTTATTACTCTTAATGCTAAGAAATTTTAATAACAATCAAAAGAGTGATGAAGTTGGCCAGACTAAAGTCTGGTCCGTGAGCACGTAGAATTTTGTCCAATGACCCCAAGCTACCCATCCTTATCGCTCGCGCGTAATTAGGTTGCTATCGCGCTCGCACACTCACTGCGGGCGCGCGTCGCACAGTCGCGACAGCAATATAATTACGCGCGAGCGATAAGGATGGGTAGCTAGGGGTCATTGGACAAAATTCTACGTGCTCACGGACCGGGCTTTAGTTGAGGAAGTCTGACGTTCGCATAATATGTGTTCCTTAGTCGCCCCTTACGACGTCCACGGGAAGAACGAGGGTCCTATTACCCTTGCTAAATAAAAATTCTACGTATTACAGAACGCACGTAAGAATCCACACGGGCGACCGCCCCTACGTGTGTCCCTTCGACGGATGCAACCGGAAGTTCGCGCAAAGCACTAATCTCAAGTCGCATATCCTCACGCACGCCAAGGCTAAGTAAGTATCGTAAGTAATACAGAATCATCATCATCCATCATCATTTCAGCTTTAATGACGTCGGATTATTCATTTTCCATGTGAATTGACAACCTAAATTACAATCTAACCTAACCCACTTAGTTTACAATCTAACACGTTATATTATAAACTGACGAAGTTCACAATTTCACGTTTACATATCCATTACAACTCATTTATGCGATTGCAAGTCTTTCTCAACCAATTTTACATGATTAATCATTTCTTAAAAACTAGTATAGTATATAAATTCTGTATTTATAGTATCCTTTTTAATTCCAGGTCAAGAAACTCGCTGTCCCGTAACGGTGGCAACAACTACGAATCAGCCCGGACCACACCGCAGTACGTTCAGTTAGAAATGTCCCAAGACGACTCGAACCCTCAATTGATCTTCTACACGCACGAATGAACGTGGACAATAAACAAAAGACAGCTGGCAAGACTCGAGAGAAGATTAAGAGACTTATGGAGCAATACTTGTGAACGGTGAATGATTTGTGTGAAAATGATTAAAATTTTGCTCGTAATAAAGCGTTGATCGTTGAAAATTACAGAAATAATCGATCAATGAAAATTTTTGATCGTATATGAAGCCAGATTCAATGGTTTGGCTATCAGTCAAATCCAAGCAAGTACCCGGGTCAAAAAATGCAGAAATAAATGGAAAGAGTCCGAAGACTGGTTTCACGGATGAAGAAATACATATATCACGAATAGTAACGCTAGTCAAGATGTGCAAGTGTCTCCTGGGCCACAGTTACTGTCAATTGTTTTGTAAAGTGAACGTAAAACTTGTAAATAGTGTTGCGAAGTGAGTTAGTGTTAGAAACGTGTAAATATTGTCCAAAAGTTTAAAAAGACTTATGTACAGTGCAAGGACAGTTGTGTCAAAAGTGAGAAGAATAAATAAATTTTTGCTATACGTCACTTATGAGACTGGTTTGTGACGGTGAGGTGAGTTTGTATCTAGTGATATGTTTTCAGTTGTTTGGTTAAATGAAGTCAAATTATTTTGAAATATTTTGGCTTTAAAATGAAATGTACAGGAATACCCTGTATGTAATGTAAAAATTCAAATAATCCAAAAACAGTCTGGTTTTACAACTCTACAATTACGTAACGCAATAGTTTTAAGTTTTCATCAACTATTTCTTAACTAATCGTTAAAATGTAGCCCCATTATTATTTAATAATACCCAAACACATAGCAGGAAAACTTTACATAAAATTATGTTACAAGTTACGTCAGAAAAAGATATTCTTGAATGTTTAATTTATCTCAAAAGTATATATTTTTATTATTAGGTTTTTGTAATGTGTGGGGCCTCGATAATGTCATTCTAGTTTTATTTTCTTATAACGACCAACACTTTAGTCCTAATTTTAACTAAACTCGCTTGTCAATTTATTTGTATTCCTGAAATAACTAGTTTATTCTTATAGATGTAAATTTATTACGTATCAAAAACTGAACTTTTACTAATAACATGTTTTAAAAGGATAGTCATCATGAAATTATGAACTCTGTTAGCTTATGATATAACTTGTGAGATTATAAACTAACAGTGGGTAATCGAACTACGTCAGATTATAATCAGACTGAGTTCAAAATTTTACAGTGACAGATTCATGACAACTGTTTTTGATCATTTCATCCACTCGGACGCGCCCCACATAATTGTTGGTCTCGGTCGCGCGGGGTGCGGAGAGTGTGGTCCGAGCAATCCGTAAGGCATTATTGTAGTGTGCGTGTGCACTCATAGAGCATTTAGCGTGTACCGATAACACTCAAACATTAGCGGAAGAATGGTGGGGCGCGTCCGAGTGGATGAAACTTTATGAGGACTGTTCAAGTTATTGTTATTTACGTAAACTGCAGTATCTTGCTTGCTACTTTTGCAATATGATTTACACTTTTTTTTTAATGGTTATTGAATTGATTAAGTTACTTAGTTATTTTACACATATAAAAAAATCCTGATAAAAATGTTTATTAGTAAAAATTCGAGTGGCTTACTTTTTTCTACTGGAGTTCTTACTTTTTATTATGATAGTTAAATTTGTATGAAGTCACATCATGCAAGTGTCCAACTAGTTTTGTATGTCTTTAGATGTATGAATTCAGGCGATGTATTTCTAAGCGTTTAAATTCCAGTTTGTATAAGAATTTGGTAGTAGACACAAGAAACTTCGAACTCCTCCTATGTTCTTCTGATTAATTTCGGCGGGTCCAATGACAGTTTAACTTTCCCCCGGGACAAACTTGACCTTCACTGGTTGGGTTTTATTGGCGGTCAAGCTGTAGATCCTGGCTACACAGGAGTTGCAGCGGTGGGAACGAGAGACGACAAATGTATGGGCTTATCACGTAAAATCGATAAAATGGCAAAAGCATATCACGGCGCGCATCTTAGGCTTACAGGACTCTGTTTTTCTGTACCTTAAACTGTCAATTGTGTTAACTACAACTTCAACCTCGCGTCTCAACTAGTCTACGATTTGTGTGATTTCATAACGAGCTTGGAATTGAAACCCTTAAAAAATATGTCCTCTGAACGTTTTTATTAGATCTTGATGGAATAAAAGAATGGTGTGTGTAATTTTAAGTAATCAGAACTGTTTCTATGATCAGATTATACAGGGTGAACTAGACAAAGCATTATTTGAAACTGTTTTGACGTATATCGTCGTTTCGCGAAATGTCATTGCCAATAAATGGTCACTTTCTCAAAATGTCACTTGCTTTAGGTCACTTTCGCAAAATATCTTTATATTTTTTTCCTGTAAAGAATATACAGGAAAAAGGTGTGAATGACATTCTGAGAAAGTGACCTTTTGCAAAACTGACATGAGAAAGTGACTATAATGATGACATTCATAAAAAAATCTGGCTAGCTACCACCATCTTACCTAGTCCTGCCTAAGTTTTCTGCATCAAAAACATATTTGCTTATCTCTAGAACTTTAACTGTATTAACATGGTTAACTTATGTTGAGTCATCTCTGGAACAGTTCTGGTTACTCAAATCTCTTTGGTACAATTCTGTACGATACAGAATTGAAAACTGCCTGATAATAGTACGCTTGATAAAAATATTCTTGTACATTTTGTACTATAGATATGCCAAAAATAATATTTTACGTTGTATTATAGAAGTCTAGTGAATAAAGAGAAATGTATGATTACAAAAGTTTAACATTTTCTACTGTCTTCGATGAAATGAAATAAAATAAAATTAAAATGGTATGAAGAAAATTGTTTTCATTTTAATGTTTTTTGTCCATTATGTGCTTTGATAGTAAATATGGTATGGACAGCATTTACATCTGTTTTTACAATTTTCGCCCACATTTTGCTTATTCGAATTATGTTTTCTCCTCTTAGAAAATAATGTTCTATGCATTTCTCTTTGCTGCATTCATGTGGAGATATTTATTTATTTTTTGGTAAACAAATTATTATTAAAATGAAGTGTACTTGTTGCTTAATTATATTATAACAAAATTAATTTAGAAATCTTATTAGAATATTTAATTAATATCTTCCCATGAATGCAGTGATGTTGTTTAAAATTAAATAATTTAAGTGCATTCTAAAATCTAAAATTACATCTGAGGTGCATACTGTTCTTTGTTTATTGTAATTTACAGAAAATACAGGGTGGAAACGATAAGTGATCTCACTCGATTATTTCTAAACCATAAAAAATATTGAAAAACTGGTTACTGATTATGTTTCTAGCTGTACTAAATGTATGGAAGCTGGAATCATTGAATTTTCGGATAGATCGAGTTTATTCTGTAACCGTAACAAACTGATAGATCTCTGAAGCACTTTCAGGATCAGTAACCAGTTTTTCAATATCTTGTATAGTTTAGAAATAATCAAGTGAGATCACTTATCGTTTCCACCCTGTATATATTTTTAGATAAATTAAACTGTACTGGGCGTACAAAATCGTGGTTTTATCAACCTTATTGGTTTTTATAATAGAGTTCAAAATTTATTATCAGAAAATGCTTCTCAAATGTAATTTTGCCTTAGTTTTTGTAATGACTGATGTAAATAATCCATTTCTTTTTAATGTCCGATCAGTCGTATTGTGTTATTTAAATATTCAGAAATGAAGTAAAAAAGTATATTGTAATTTTTTACTCGTAATCTGAGACGCAATATTTGAAACTGATAAAATTTAGGTAATATACAAAACCAGTACAACCCGGTCGAATTAACACGCAATGTGACGTCACGGCACCGAGCAGCCGTGACGTCACATTGCATCGCCGCTCTGTTATAGACGGGGCGAACGCGGGGAGGTGAGTGCGAGGGAGAGTCTCATTCCAGCGAGATGCGCAGTTAGCTCAATCGAGTTGTAATTCACATTATTCTACTACTTTTTGTAGAGAAAATGCCACATGACCAACATACCATTAGTTGTTACAATTCACGAAGGCGAGTGAGCTTTACATGTGTGGTGGCTCGCTACTGTTCGTTTCTCAAAAGTTTTGATAGACATTACACTATCGTTATGTGCATGTACACGTACACACACAAGTAAAGCTCACTCGCCTTCGAGAGTTGCAAGAATAAATTGCGTCTCAGATTTCGTATAATATTACATGGCTATTTGTTTCTATAATATGAAAATGTTAGTTTAAATATCACAATACGGTTGAAATTCTTCTACGAAGCAATGGGACGAACCAGAATAAAGTGTAAATATTTATATAAATAATGTGTTTTATTTCGATAAATCTATCACTTCATCATCAGCTAGGCTAGATGCGCGGCACGGTAAAATCTTATCGACGATTTTTGACGATAAATGTATGGGCTTATCGCACAAAATCGATAAAAGCCACAGGTCAGTGTCTAGGAGTCAGCATGCATGAGAATTTATAAAACAAAATCGTTAAAAGTTGGCGCGGGGAGGGGTCGACTAGTTTGGTCCGGGAGCACGTAGTAGAATTTTGTTCCATGACCCCAAGCTACCCATCCTTATCGCTCGCGCGTAATTATATTGCTGTCGCGACACAAAATTCTATGTGCTCCCGGACCAGACTAGTTCTTATTGGCACAGATTAGAGAGTATCTTGAGTCTCGGCAGCCGAATGAGGAACGAAAGGGCGGGGCCGGGTGTTAAGCAGTGAAAATGCATAAATCCCCGTGAACGTCAGAATGGCGGGTGTATGATCACAGAAATGAATAAAATAAATATGGTTAATTAATACCTGAGGTGTACCTTGGTGTACCTTTAGTTATTTATTTTGTACTTCCCTATGACGGGAACAATTACGATTACCAAATGAGCCGCCAACCTGATATCAGGTTGGCGGCATATTTATTTTATTCATTTCTGTGATCATACACCCGCCATTCTGACGTTCACAAATTCCCCGCAATGCGTGGTCTTTATTTGGTTGTGCTCTGTGAGAACAACCCAAACGTTATAGTTTGAATATCATGTAAATGGGTAGGTGGAACTGTAGTAGTGACCCACTGTGTATTCATAAGCGTGTAGTATTATGCGTATTTTTCAACACAGACGTAGCGTGCGTGCTTGTATCCTTGCAAATTAGTGACAACGCGATCGATAACTGTTTTTTTTTACTCTTTAGTTGGTGTAGAATAGCGTTACTGTTATAAATGCAAAGTGAAAAACGAAACGCAGCTCCAATCAACATGTCATTTCCGATTTGACAGTTCCACAAAACTTGACAGAAGTGACGTGTAAACTGCATTCGTCGGCGCCCCACAGTTTTTTAATTAAAACAAGAAAAAGCTCAAAATGAGCGTTTTCAAACGTGATAAGAAGGAGGAGGAGGATAGCGGCGGAAATCCCTATCAGAACTTGGATAAGACGATCGTGTTGCAAGAAGCTAGGTACTTCAACCAGACTCCGGTCAACCCTCGAAAATGCAGCCTGATTTTGACGAAAATCCTCTATTTGCTCAACCAGGGAGAGAAGTTGACGACCCAGGAGGCCACAGACGCGTTTTTCGCGACTACCAAGCTGTTTCAATCGAAAGATGTGATGTTACGTCGGATGGTGTATCTTTGCATCAAGGAACTGAGTACGCTCGCGCAAGATGTGATAATAGTAACGTCTTCGTTGACGAAAGACATGACTGGGAAGGAGGATTTGTACCGGGCAGCGGCTATAAGAGCCCTGTGCAGTATTACTGACAGTACGATGCTGCAAGCCATTGAGAGGTACATGAAACAGGCTATAGTGGATAAGAATCCAGCTGTGAGTTCCGCGGCGCTGGTTTCGGCGTTGCATCTGTCTTCGACGGCTCCTGACCTCGTGAGGCGGTGGGCGAATGAAGCTCAGGTTTGTTTTTTTCTAATAGTTTTTAAAAAGAAAAAAGTTTTTATTCATATACACTGTAAATTCATTGTAATTTGTATGTAAAGAAACTGAAGGGACTGAAGAGTTTTCGACGTTAAAGAGAGTGGATGTTAGATGTGAGACACAGTAGAGCAGATATATGTAATAGTAACAAGATAATTTGTTGTTATAAGAAATTTATAGTTAATTTAAATTGAGTGATGCAATAATGAGGTTACACTGTAATTGTAACTCTTTAATTTTGAACAAATTCTTTACAGGCCCTTTTCAGAGCATATTTTTCTCTTCTCTTGGCTTTATACAGCTTGAGTGTGTCCATTTTCAAGTTAAAGAATAGGGATCAAATATTATGTTCAGTTCACTTACGGAATTCTCTTATCCAGCTCTCTCCACAGAGTCTGTTTTCCGTAGGTTAAGTGGATGTCGTCCTTCCAATCCGTACTTGTTTTAGGAAGCCTGCCCAGTGCCGTTGTCCATGCTAGTGCAGTAAATATGAAATTTTTATATTTTCAGGAAGCAATTGCATCTGACAACGCAATGGTCTCCTACCACGCTCTTGGAGTCGTCGCTGGTTCCCGCAAGAACGACAAGCTGTCTACCGTCAAGCTGGTAACTCGCTTAGCTCGGGCACCGTTGAAGTCTCCTTACGCTCTCTGCCTTCTTATCCGTCTAGCGGCCCAGCTTGTAGAAGACGACGATTCCGATGCATCTCAACCTTACATCGAGTTCATCGAATGCTGCCTTCGCCACAAATCCGAAATGGTCATATACGAAGCTGCACACGCCATCGTCAACCTCAGGAAAACAGCCAGAGATTTAGCTCCAGCCGTTTCTGTACTTCAGCTCTTCTGTGGGTCATCCAAAGCGTCTCTAAGACTTGCAGGCGCGAGAACTCTTGCCAGATTGACAGCGAAACACCCGACTGCTGTCGCTGCGTGCGCTGTTGATCTAGAAAACCTAATTTCTGATCCCAACCGCTCTGTAGCCACTTTGGCCGTGACAACTCTTCTTGCAACAGGCGCTGAGAGTTCAGTCGATAGGTTGATGAAGCAAATATCCAGTTTTGTGTCTGAAATCTCTGATGAGTTTAAGATCGTCGTCGTGAGAGCCATTAGACGTCTCTGCACGAAGTTCCCGAGGAAACACCAGGCTTTGGCCGCGTTCTTAGCTGGCATGCTGAGAGACGAAGGCGGTTTGGAGTACAAAGCAGCCATCGCTGATGCTATCATAGCTTTAGTCGAAGAAAATCCGGACGCGAAAGAGACTGGGTTGGCTCATCTCTGCGAGTTCATCGAAGACTGCGAGCATACGGCTCTCGCTGTAAGAATTCTGCATCTGCTAGGACGTGAAGGACCGAAATCCCGTCAACCGTCCAGATACATCCGCTTCATTTACAACCGTGTGATCTTGGAGTCTGGACCGGTGCGTGCGGCGGCTGTGTCGGCTGTAGCTCAATTCGGAGCTCAAAGACCTGAGCTGCTTCCCAATATCAGGGTTTTGCTAGCCCGCTGCCAAATGGACGACGAAGATGAAGTTAGAGACCGGGCGATTTACTACAGCGCCATTTTGGATACCGGAGATGCGCAACTCATCAATGATTACATCGTCAACGTTCCCAAGCCAAATCCGGTGCTGCTAGAGAAAGCTTTGAGAGACCATTTGGCGACAAGTCCCGAAGAAGTATTCGATATCAAGGCCGTGCCTACTGAGGAGGAGCCTAAGGAAAACAAAGAAGCAATAGTCGAGATCGAAGTGCGCAAACCAGTATTACAGTCCTTGGAAGAAATGTACGCCGAACAACTATCCAAAATCCCAGGCATCGAACGTCTTGGCCCAGTATTCAAAACGAACTTGCCGATCGATTTGACGGAAGCAGAAACGGAGTACCGCGTGCGTTTGATCAAGCACGTGTTTGGAAGACACGTCATTTTCCAATTTGAATGCGTCAACACGCTAAGCGATCAGTTATTGGAAGATGTGCATGTCAGACTCGAATGCCCCCCTGAATATGAGCTAAAGACCGAAGTAGCTTGCCAGAATTTAGCATACGACAAGCCGGGAAGCGTTTTCGTAGTAGTCGAATACCCTTCAGCTTTCTTGGACAGTCTGGGCACTTTCGGAGCCACTTTGGAATTCACAGTTCGCGATTGCGACCCAACAACAGGAGTGCCCGACCCAGGAGAAGGGTACGGAGACTCGTATCCTTTGGAGGAGTTCGATATGGGTTGTTCTGACCAGATCAGAGCTAGAGCAGCGTCTGACGACTGGGATGCAACTTGGGAGAGGTCAGCTAACGCGCCCCAAGCTTCTGACACGTTTGCTCTGTCGCAAAACGACGTCATGGACGCAGCGAAAGCAGTTTGCGAGCATCTAGGATTACCCAAGAATGCTATAGTGGGGGAGGCTGTGAAGGAAATCCGTGGAGGTGGCATTTTCAGGGGCGGGGCTCCGGTCCTGGTGAGAGCTAGACTGGTGTCGAGCCCTGGTGGTGTTACTATGCAGTTGGCGGCCAGGTCGCCTAGGGAGGATGTCGCACAGTTGCTGCTAGCAGCAGTAGGTTAAACTTTAGGATTATTTGTGTTTTCGATTGTGGAATGTGGTCTATGAATCGAGATCTTGGAAAATTTTCTCCAATAGACAAAATCGCTAATTCTCAGGGCAATAAAAAAATTATTACGTGGTTTACAAGAAGCTGTACTACAAAAATGGCTTTTATTCATAGAAAATAAGAGTGATTTTAAGCTTAACATGTTCTTTCTAATGTCATCTCTCTTAGAGAATCCAGGACAAAGCACAATTATAAATTCAGAACATCTTTTGGCCTAGAAAACTGATCAGAGATAACATTTCACAATCGAACCGCCAGTATTTTATAGCATTTCGTATGTCAGTTCGTATAGCCGATATAATATTGAAACTACATAAATATTTATAATTCCTACATTGATATCTCTACTCTCAACCACGGCATTTATAAATGCCTACAGAATTCAGACTTTGTCGGCCGATAGTTGGGTCCGGCTGTTGATCAGTAAGGACATGTATGAAAGTGCGCACATTACACTGATTTGGTATCGGCCGATTCTTCATACTAATAAGAATCGGGCCCAACAATCGGCCATTATTATTATTATTGGTTTTTGGGCCTTTACTTGCGCCAACTCGACCAGGTTTGATCTATTGTGGCAGCCCTTGTCTTTAGAGTTCACTGCTTAGTCCCGTTGAGTCTATAAATGTCCAGATTCTTTGGAGCGTGATATCTGCTATCTCATCCGGGTGCATGATGTGTCGCCCGAGATGGATACTTCTTTTGCTCATGAGCGGGCCGCATGAGCAGAGAACATGCATGGCCGTTTCTTCTTCTGTATGGCAGAATCTGCACAGAGTTTCCTCGGTCATGTTCAGTTCATCAATGTTTGCAGTGGCCGGTTAGTATTCTAGTCACTGCACAGGCTTTGTGTCTTTTGAACTTTAGCAGCTCCTTAGTTTTAACAATCGGCCAACTAAAAGTCTGTAGTCTGTGGGGTCTAAAATCTACTACAAATTAAATCTATCAAGAACTAACGCCGTTACTTCGTGAAAAATATCATCAATCAAAAGAAGCTGGATTCTAATTTAAGCATAAATTAATATACTGTTTTTTGAAATGAATATAATCCGGTGCAGAATTCTTGGAATTGGAATAATTTTAGTCATTGTGCAATCTTTTTGTGGTCACTTTAGAATGTGTATACCTAGATCGTTTCATCCACGAAGACGCGCCCCAAGCGTCAAGCAATCCGAGCTTCATTATTGTAGTGTGCTTGTGCACTGATGGATAATTTAGCTTGTACCGATAACACTCAAACATTCGCGGAAGAATGGTGGGGCGCGTCTTCGTGGATGAAACGATCTATACATATTACATACCTACTGTGGGTAATTTAACCTAAAAGCAGTACTTATTCAGCTAATAATCATTCCTGTGTTTTTATTTAAATAGGTATTTAGAAATGCCATGAAATTACAAAATAGATTTTGATATTTGATTATATTCCTATGTACTCAAAATCGATGTTAATATATTGAAATAAAACAATTTAAAATATAAACTTTCTCTTTATTTCAATCAACTAAATTTAATATTGAATAACAAAAATATTACTTTGTAAGAAAATTTTCAAATAAAAAACAATGTATTCCTTATGATTAAACTATTAATAAAAAAAAAATATACTTAATACTAAGTACAGTAGCCTCTTAACACTAATTTTAGGAACTTATTTATATTGACGATTCTTTTTAATTTTTTTTATTTAAAATCAACAAGTTGCCGTCAAAACTAGTTATACAAAGTACGATAGCGTCTTACTAATTTTAAGAACAAAACTTAAAGGTTTTTTGACGATTATTTTAAATTTTTTGATAATTATTATTTAAAATTTAAACAAATTACAATCTAGTAGTTACAGAAACAATAGATGATCAAAGCCATATAAACCCAAGCATGGATTGATTTTATTTTTATTTTATTTCGATTACAAACAAACTTAAAATCCGGTCGCCGAGCAGATAGAATTTCGTCCAATGACCCCTGTGTCGCTGTCGCAACTGTGCGACGGGAGGCCGCAGTGAGTGTGCAAGCAATAAGGATTGGTAGCTTGGGGTCATTGTACGAAATTCTATCTCCTCGGCGACCGGACTTTAGATCAATATAGGAACTAAAAAGAATAACAATTTGTCTTACATGCTAACTAGGAACAACAGTCATTTGTACTAGTGAATAGTAGAATTCCAACACATTTCGTGTCTAGAAACTAGCGAATTTTCAAACAAAAGAAATATATTAAGTAATATTATGGATACATAAAAATAAAAATAAAGATTAAAACTCGATTCAATCTGTCATAGATTCTTCTCAGTCCTTTTCGTAATCTTAAATGAATCGATTTTATTGATCATGCTTGAATCGATTTTTTTTATCATACTTGAACAACTGTTTTGATCAAAACGCGACTTAACTGTAGTTCAGTGTACATTATTATACTTATTGTTATAATATTTGATCCCGAATAACATTATATTTTAGTTACTATAAATAAAAACAATATTTCAGTTCAGTAGTTTCTTAAGAAAATACCAATTTTATAGATATCTAACTTCTCTTATCACTCGAATATATTGAAAAATTACCCTCTATAAAACAAAATATTTCCATAATAAAATATGTTACTGCAGTGTTCAACACGCTTGTAATTTTATCGGTAAGGCTGTGTTGTACCACCTTACTTTAATTGAAACTATAACAATAACCGGTGTTTTTATGGAGTTTGACAGACTTGACGTTTGTTAAGTTAAATTAAGATGGTGCAACCCAGCCTAAGAGCTCTTTCAAATTAAACGTTTTGTGACGGACGTTTGTCGTCCGTTTGCACGACCGCACACTGAAAATAATATGACAACTGCGTTGGAATAATGACAGTCAATTACCAACAGTGTGCGGTCTTGCAAACGCACGACAAACGCCCGTCTCAAAACTAGGGATGTTATGGATCTATGTAGTTTCGGTTATGGATATAGAAATAATATTATACCGGTTACGGTTACGGATATTTTTTTATTTCGGATATCCGAAAATTTCGGTTACGGATACGAATATCTGTGCTTTAGAATGCAATTTGCAATATTTGTCCAACACGGTTCATTCATGGCCGCACACTACATCGAATAAAGAGTAATAAAAATACTAGATGACATTATAAAGGTAAATCAGGCTGGTATGCCTTTACATAATGCTATCCAAAAAACAATATAAACTGCCTATATCCGAAACTATCCGAAACTTTTGAATCGGTTACGGTTTCGGATATCCGAAAGTTTCGGTTACGGTTACGGATATCCATAACATCCCTGTTTGAAAGAGCCCTAAGGGGGTTAATACAGTTATAGTTACAATTCACGAAGGCGAGTGAGCTTTACATGTGTGGTGGCTCGCTACTGTTCGTTGTTCAAAAGTTTTGATACATTACACTATCGTTATGTGCATGTACACGTACACACACAAGTAAAGCTCACTCGCTTTCGTGAGTCGCAAGAACTAAAGTCTGGTCGCTGAGCATGTAGAACTTTGTCCAATGACCCCTAGCTACCCATCCTTATCGCTCGCGCGTAATTATGTTGCTGTCGCGCTCGCACACTCACTGCGGGCGCCCGTCGCACAGTCGCGACAGCAACATAATTACGCGCGAGCGATAAGGGTAGGTAGCTTGGGTTCATTGGACTAAATTCTACGTGCTCAGCGACCAGACTATATAATATACATACCAATAATAACTTCTATTATTCTTCTCTCTTCTATTCTCTCTTTCTTATCTTTTCATAAATCACTCGAATATATTAAAATACCGCGTACCAGTCTGGTTAGAATAGTTGCTGACCGAAGCATCGAGGTCGTCTGTCAACACCAGCACAGTTTTCAGTGCGTTCTCCAAGATCTGGGCTTGTTCCAGACATTTCATCACCACTTGCCTGAAAAACAGTTTTAGGTTGAGTTGCATCATCTTAACTTTAACCGTAACTATAACTTTAACCGGTGTTTTTGTATGGAGTTTGAGACTTTGTATGTTAAGAGCCCGGTCTGTGAGCACGTAGAATTTTGTCCAATGACCCCAAGCTACCCATCCTTATCGCTCGCGCGTAAATAATTATATGTCTGTCGCGACTGTGCGACGGGCGCCCGCAGTGAGTGTGCGAGCGCGACAGCAACATAATTACGCGCGAGCGATAAGGATGGGTAGCTTGGGGTCATTGGACAAAATTCTACGTGCTCGCAGATCAGACTATAGTTAAAGTAAGATGGTGTAACCCAGGGTTACTGTTAAGAGCATAAAGGTGGATTTATATTTGTCTGACGCATTGTGACGTGACGAATCAGAACGGAAGCGGTTTCTTACATTATACGAAACGGTAGATATCGGAGAGATAAGCCACGGCGAAACCGCTTTGCATTGGAGGGAAGTCGAACCTTAACTTCGAACTCCTATGTTCTTCTGATTAATTTCGTTGCGGGTCCAATGACAGAACTTTCCCCCGGGACAAACTTGGCCTTCACTGGTTGGGTTGTTGGCGGTCAAGCTGTAGATCCTGGCTGCACAGGAGTTGCAGCGGTGGGAACGAGAGGTGGGAATAGTCCCGTCAGCCATCTCGACTCGACACAACACTTTAGTGTAAATATATGAAACTGATTCCCTTCTGAGTGCTGAATGTGAGTTTACATCAAACGTCACTAGTGAGCGCGCAATAAAATGACATTAAATGTATGACGGATTGTACAGCGCCCCTAGCGGTAACTTTCAAGAACTAAAATTTTTATAAATTTTTTTATGCACTCTCGAGAACGTTTGATGTAAACTCACACTAAACCCTCTAATGTGTCATGACATGATTTAAGTATTAACTAGCGGCCGCCAGCGACTTCGTACGCGTGGATCCCGTTTTACCCCCTTAGGGGTGGAGTTTCGTAAAATCCTTTCTTAGCGGATGCCTACGTCGTAACATCTACCTGCATGCCAAATTTCCGCCCGATCCGTCCAGTGGTTTGGGCTGTGCGTTGATAGATCACTATGTCAGTCAGTCACCACCATTGAGTTTTATATGGTTTATGTGTAAAAATAACAGTTTTGTGAACATACCTGTACCTAGTCATTCGTTTGTCACCGGTAGCCTGGGCGCCTGCTTTTAAAAGCAAGGCTCTGATGGACGTGTCTTCGTTAGCCTCTCTTTGGATGATTCTGTGGAAAAAATCCTTGCTTTATAAAATTAAATGCGAAAGTATTGCTGGATGCAGGCCGCTACCAACCGGGCGATGTGGAAGTCATTGGGAGAGGCCTATGTTCAGCAGTGGACGTCCTGTGGCTGAAATGATGATGATGAACATTTACCTTTTCAAATTGCCTATGATTTCAGCGATGATCACGTGGGTCGTGTTGGCTCTTTCATGCAGCATCCGTCTCTTTTCCTCCTGAGTTTCGTCCTCGCGAAACTCATTTATACTTTTCATTCTAAAATTATAGGAAAATATCGTCAGTTTTTATAAGTCTGAAAATAATAAAGAAATAGGATCCTAAAAAATATCAGCAGTAATTTAATCTGCCAGATAAGTGTCTGATAAGCTATCAGGGACCTTTAAAAGCAAAGAGTGAGTCGCAAGTGAATAGCAGGCCAAAGTAATAATAATATGACAGAGCGAAAAGTTTTAAAAAGCTAGCAATAAATTCAATTATTTAACAGTAATGTAATGTCCTTTTCATCTTAGAAACGTCAGATTACAGGGAGCGTTTTTATGCTAAGTGATGAATTGTATTTAAAATGAGGCAATATAATGTGAAAGTTAAGTGTCCATTGTTTTATTTATGAGAATTTATGAGCTTCTGATTCCCGTTTACACCATCAATCCCTAATTTTTAAGTGACCTATGAAAACAAAATTCCTGTTAAGTGTTACCATGGGGGTTACTTAAAAATTAGGGATTGGTGGTGAAAACGGGCATAATACTTAATAAAAAAAGTAAAGCTATAGTCTGGTCCGTGAGCACGTAGAATTTTGTCCAATGACCCCAAGCTACCCATCCTTATCGCTCGCGAGTAATTATGTTGCTCGCACACTCACTGCGGGCGCCCGTCGCACAGTCGCGACAGCAATATAATTACGCGCGAGCGATAATGATGGGTAGCTAGGGGTCACTGGACAAAATTCCACGTGCTCACGGACCGGGCTTTAGTACTTACATAAATTCATAAATCTCCTTCACAGAGACGCTTAGCTCAGCCAAAAATATCTTCACCAGCGAATAAGCTTGCACCCCTTCATTTTCAAAACCACTGTCATTAGTCGCATCGTCATTAGGTTTTGCATCATCTATCGTCGAATTGCAATTGTTAACTAACGAATCATTAACTTTATCATTACTATCATTAAACGCGCTATCATTATTTACTATCACTTGAGTGCTTTTGCTATCCGTATCGTGAATTTCTATCACATTCTTGTCAATGGTCGGTTTCGGTCGATTTCTGATTTCGTAGACAAAACTGACGTTCTCAATCGATTCGTTTTCGATTATGACAGTTTCAGACATAGATCTGTCTATTTCAGAATAATCTAGGGCATCCAGGTCTAGTTTTTCATTGTCATCTTTCAATTTGTCTTCAAAAGCGTCGATGGGCTTCAAATTCCTTATCACTTTCGGTCCAGTTGTTTTGTTGTCAGCAAAAGTGTTGCCATGTTGAGGGACGTTCAAATCCTCTATTATATCTTTGGGGGTTTTATCATTAGATTTTGGCAAGAACAAATTGTCGAACGTCCTCACCACTTTCGGTCCAGCCGTTTCTGTGGTGTTGCCATGATTAGGCATGTTTAAATTATCTTTGTTGGCACTGTCGTTAGTTTTTTGTTTGAAAATATCAAACGTTCTTATGATTTTAGGTTCTGTTTTTTCATTTGTAAATGTATTATTAATAGACTTAGTATTTGTCAAATTTTCTACATTATCTTTTGCTTTTGGCAATTCTACATTTTTAGATACATTTGCTTCATGCCTTTTGAATATTTCTACATTTTCAGTTACATCAATGTCATTTTTTGCTGTTGCCTTGTTGTCATTTCTGATTTTGAAAATGAACGAGCTGTCAAACTTCCGAAACACAATGGGGGATTCTTTAATGTTGCCAGTGTTGAATTGGTATTTAGATTTTTCATCGTTGATAGCGTATATACCGTCGATTTTGGTAGATTTTTGGGCTTTTTCGAATGCAGTCGTGTCGTTTTCATTTACTGCTTTCATGAGGTTGATCGTATGAGATCTTAAAGTAATAGATTTGTCTTTATCAATGTTTAGTAGATTCAAGTCTTTGCCGGTAGTCCTTACTACAGTAGGTCCGGGCTGGAAGATAAAATTATAAATAAATAATATATCGTTTCATCCACTCGGGCGCGCCCCAGCAATGTGTGGTCCCGGTCGCGCGGGGCGCGGGGAGTGTGGTCCGAGCAAGCCGTAAGGCATTACTGTAGTGTGCGTGTGCACTCATGGATCATTAGCGTGTACCGATAACACTCAAACATTCGCGGAAGAATGGTGGGGCGCGTCCGAGTGGATGAAACGATCTATACAGAGTGGTTTTTTTTTAAATAGCAAGCTTGATTCCTCAAAAACGGTTCGAGGTGAGTAATGAGAAACTGCAAGATTTCATAAATTTTTACCCCCTTACTAATAAAAAGTTATACAGTTGTTGAACACTGTTTTAAAAGACATTTCCATACAAAATGTCACTTTAAAACACTGTTCAACGAACGTGAAGTTTTATTAGTAAGGGGGTAAGTCACTATGGAGCGTTTCAAGGGACCACAGCGTGCTTTGTTTTATTATTTTTTATTAAAGCAACCCCTATAAAACGCTTCTTTTTTTGCCCACCCTGTAGTAATATGCTATAAAACTGTTACAAGAGTCCTTACCTGCATTTCGCTGTCATAATCTTGCGGTATTTCGTAGTCTTTCCAATCTTCGAAGTGTGCCTTCAAATACTGTATTATTTCAGAAGGCCTTTTCACATCTGTATTAGAGTGAAAATTGAAATATTAATTATTTGGTAAGGTCTACTTTTTAAAGAGCACACTTATAAGGATTCCGCATACAAACTTTCATCCTTTTCATCCCTTAAAGGATTATTTCTGGGATATAATGTAATATCCTTTCCCGGGACTCAAACTATCTCTAAATTTTCATCAAAATCAGTTCAGCTGTTTAAGCGTGAAGGGGTACAAAACAGACATTATCTTACAATAGTCTGGTCTGCGAGCACGTAGAATTTTGTCCAATGACCCCAAGCTACCCATCCTTATCGCTCGCGCGTAATTATGTTGCTGTCGCGCTCGCACACTCACTGCGGGCGCCCGTCGCACAGTCGCGACAGCAATATAATTACACGGGAGCGAGAAGGATGGGTAGCTTGGGGTCATTGGACAAAATTCTACGTGCTCACAGACCGGGCTTTAGAAACAAACAAGTAGCCCAACTCGAGCCCCGATAATAGCCTAAACACGTAGAGCACTTATAGTTTATTCAATCTATCAAAGGGATCTATGATAAAAAGTTTTTTAACTATAGAAACATCTGTTTAGTGATAAAACTATGAATCGTTTAGGCGCGATTGGTCCAATTCGCAATTGGTCCAATCGTGAAAAATTTACAAATTCGCGTTTAGTCCAATTCGCGATTAGTCCAATTCGCTATTGGACCAATTCGCTTTTTTCTGCATATAGTAGTAAAAGTTGATTAACCTCCTATTTTTTCATTTTGGATATCCTTTTATTTTGGACCAATAGCGAATTGGTCCAATAGCGAATTGGCCCAATAGCGAATAGGACTAATCACGAATTTGTATTTTTTTCATGATTGGACCAATTGCGAATTGGACCAATCACGCCTAAACGTGGTACATACAGTTTCGTCTTTCCTCGGCCGTTCGCTCGCGCTCCCTGCATACTAAAGGCGTGGTGAACTCAGGCACTTCTGGGGGGCGAGACATGTTTTGTAGCAGCGACGAGATGGCGTCCGATGTCTCTTGTAGAGATACTGATGGTTGGACCGACTGGGGACATTCGAATATTGATTTTGATTTTATCGGCCGACGAAAAATCGATGGTCTGCGCGCGCATAGGCTTAGAGTCAAAACTCACAATGGTCGAACCGACCGATTGTTCAAAACCACTTTTGGCTGCAAATTAGTAAGTGGTTTTTTTAACTGATGGCCTTGGTCAATATCACTTTTGCCTGATTTTTTCAGTCAAAAGTGGTTTACCGATTATGAATTATGATTGTAACATACTACATTTTTTTATTATGGTTAAAATAGAGAAACACGGCACTAATTACAAAGCAACCAAAATTGTTAATTTATAGTTGAATTATATTAAATAAATAAAAATGATAAAGTTAATTGACTTTTTAAGACCAGAATGAAGGGTTTTCAAGGACGAAGCACACTTATCAATCCGGAAACGGATCGTAACCGTATCGAGGCGGTCTGTATTCTTTGTATGAAACTCCATTAAACGCACACTTATCCGCACCGTAACATAACGCCTCGCCTCTGTTCAACAACAGCGAGGCGATACGGCGTTGAACCCTTTCCGGGTTGATAAGTGTGCTATGACCATTATTGGAAATAGTGTCAAATATTTGACTTACCTTCAACGTCTCAACCAAAATCATACCGCATCCTACAATCTTGACGAAATCATTCGGCTTGATGGATGACTTAAATTTACCTGTAATGATTAAGTAGGTATATGTTATGAATGTCCACCCACAAGGTGGACCGACGACATCATAAAGGTAGCAGGAAGGCGCTGGACGCAGGCCGCTACCACCCGGGCAACATGGAAAGCATTGGGGGAGGCCTATGTTCAGCAGTGGACGTCCTATGGCTGAGATGATAATGATGTTATGAACAACGAAATAAGTATTGTAGAGATATCACATTAGGCCCGATCCGAATCCGTCAAAATACGGATTTTACCAAGAGAAATCGCATAGTGCATCTACCATTTTTTTTATCCTAAATAGAAAGCTCTTGGCCTGCATCTTACCTGATGGTAAGTGATGATCAGGCCGAAGGTGGAAGCGAGCTTCACCCGGAATCCTCAACCACAGAGGAACTGGCTATCTTACCTCCCTTAACTTCGAACTCCTGTGTTCTTCTGATTAATTTCGTTGGAGGTCCAATGACAGTTTACCTTTCCCCGGGACAAACTTGACCTTCACTGGTTGTGTTATTGGCGGTCAAGCTGTAGATCCTGGCTCCACAGGAGTTGCAGCGGTGGGAACGAGAGGTGGGAATAGTCCCGTTTATATCTTACTTCCAAAAATGCTGTCAACATTGTTGTTATGGCGACAGACTTTAGATAAGATATGTGGCCAAGTTTATTATTATGGTAAAATCTACGAACCGGGCAACATGGAAAACATTGGGGGAGGCCTATGTTCAGCAGTAAACGTCCTATGGCTGAGATGATGATGATGATGATGATGAAAAACTCACCAATTTGGCTGCTATGGTTCAACAGCATACATTTAAGTTTATCAGTGACCATGTTCACTTCTGAATGAGAGCCATACAACTCCTGTATTCTTCTGATGGAGTCATATAACACCCATGGCGGGGAGAGCTTGTCTGTGATTGGTGAATGTTGCTGGAAAAACATTCAAATATTTATTTTAAAGGTCAAGCGTTTATCTCAGTCAGTGCCTGAGATATGGGAGCGGCACGGGAGGGTGTTTTTGTGACGTCAAACGTCAGTATGACTTCAGATTTGTATGCTCTGTCACGTCATAAATGTCAATGTCAACCCTCCCGTACCGTACGTTGTCAATGATGGGCTGTCGTTTTTATACTTAACAGTTGGCACCCCTGGCGATTGACAGGACCTTAATCTACAGTGGCGCCCCCAAGTAACATTTTACTCCATTTAAGAGTTCACATTTAGTTCCAATGTGTACTTAAAGCATTAGTACAGTTCACTCGTGATGTATAAGCTGTATTATTGCAATTAATTACACCTATACCTGTCTAAGGGACTTATAGGAGTGTAGACTAGTGTAGAGTTATACTTTTATACGATTGTTGGTGTTATAATACTCTAACAACTATCCTTTAGTCAGCTGTCTGACTAAGAGCATTATAGGAGGGTAGAGATACGGCAACTGCTGTTTAACGGCCTACTTGTACGATGTTATAGAGCTAGCATTTTAATAGAACACACGTGGTCATTTATAAAGCCAAAGGCTGTTATGTTTACTTGTTTTAGACTGTTATACAGCTAGTAGCTGTAGTAGGACTTGTTTGTGTTAATAAAATAACCTTTTTTTACTATCTGTACAAAAGTGTTTCAATGGTTCGCATGTGCACTGTAGGCTGTTAAAAGGACTATATGTGTTGTCCATTAACATCAATAGCAGTTTATTTGTCCACAAGTACTACTCTTATTTGCTTTAAGCTGAAAATGAATGTGAATGTGATATTCTATTACACTTTTCCCCAAGCCTGTTTTTAGTTGTATTTATGGTGGTTCTGTACATGATGCAGAGGAAAATATTATGCCTGAACCTGAAAGTTCCCTTCAAAATATACAGATATCAGAGTGTGATGATTGCAGTTCTAGTGATAGTGAATACAATTTTGATTTAGACAATTATTTAACCTTTAGCAAAAAAATAAGAACATGGGCTATTGAAAATCGTATTCCTCATTCCGCTTTGAATAAATTGTCAGGCATAATAAACGAATTTAAACCGGGAACACTACCGTCTGATGCTTTAGGTATTCATACTTGACTATTAGTACCTGGGCTAGGCGATTTAACGGACATTAATAATTTTTATTGCGGATCTCTAAAATTTCAGTATTTGAAAGAATTAAAGATACACAATTGACCTGAACTAGGTACATCTTAAAGCTGTACATAAGTTCACATTAGAATAAATTTATAGACATTAGCGCTGTAGTGGTACAAATGTGGAACTTAATATAGATATCAGCATTCTAACAAAACACATGTGAACCTAATATACGCTCACCGCATTAAATTGGAGTTATAACAGTTCACATAGCCGTATTTCATTTCCACCATTTTGTTCTACATAACCTAAAATATTTACCAAATAAATCTCCAAAATTAATGCAGATTTATCACAAAATTCGCAGATATAGCGATTGAGTTTTGGTTTCATGTTATAATTAATTACCGTAGTATAATTATAATGCCAATACAATATCAAAAACTGAAAATTGTAGATTTCCTCTCAACCAGTTTTAACACATTGAACGCCAACGCGGTCAATGTTGTCCGACACTGCACTTTCCTACCAGGCCAAGTAAAAATTACAATTTTTTTCAATTTTCGTCGATTGTTTTTTTTTGTTAAATCGTTACATTATAAACATAAATAAAGGATTTTATTAACATAAAGTTGTTTTTGAGTCTCTACATCGAATTATTAAGCGTCGGACATCATTGATCCCCATGGCCCCAGCGAGCGAAAATTCGAAAATCCGTTCCGTAGGGCCGCGCGGTCATGTTGTCGACCATCCCCGCTCGCATCCAAAAAAAAAAGGAGAACAACCAAAAAAATAAAGAGTTGTACATTGGTAGGTTTTTGATATATTATATTACGCATAAATAGGAATATTATAAGGTATAAAATGANAAAGTTGCATTCCCAATGGCATTAACATTATTAAGTATTTAAAACCCGTGTTATTATTTGCATAAATGATTAAATATTATCCGCCCGAGTTGTTTCCTCTTGGCACTCACGTACAAATACCAAACTAATATTAAAATGTGGAAATAATTTAGGACACACGTGAACTTTATGTAGCATTGGAGTACTTTTGTCGGACTTTATAACTTTGAAAGCTGTGCATTTAGCCACTTGTTACTCTTTATTGTCCTCACGTACGTTGTATGGTTTACACTGCGTCCCATATAGTGCCGTAAGTCAGCCTTAAGTACGATGTTACTACTTAAACTGCTATTATAATGCTATTATACTGCTAATGTACAACCATAGTGAACTTAAAGCTGTCTAATTTGTGCCCAAACTGGTTCTATAAAAGCATTATAGCAAGCTATACAGCTCGTATACAGCTGACATACACAGCTTGTGGAGTACATGTGAACGACTATTGAACTCTTAAATGGAGGAAAATGTTACTTGGGCCATCTTGATGAGTGCAAATGCGATAGTAATCCTACCACTTTAGCACTCACCAGTTGGTGCCACTGTCTTCGCTACTAGCAAGTGACAGGACCTTACTCTACAGTGGCGCTAACTGGTGAGCGCTAAAACGATAGCCCTTATTGTGACAAAAGTGAAAAGCAATGTGTTCTGTTTTTGGGCATATTGCTGCAACATTGGCCACGCCCCCTTTTCACATCTCCCTTTAGTTTCTGTGATCTGTGGTTAGAATGCACTTACCACCAAAACTTCAACGAGTGCCTCTTCCATTAACTGCGCGAAAGAACATATCCATTCGTCCAATCTCAATTTAATATTATCCTCCATTTCTTTATTTTTAACGCTGTAAACACTTAAAAGATCATCCAAAGAGTTTATATTCGAACTTTTTTCTGCCATTTCTATTGTTTTTTCTGTTCCATTTTCAAATCTGACAGCGTTTTGTTTTTCTGGTGGCACTTCGTTTTTGTTTTCTTTTATAAAGAGGTTCTGCATGTCCAAACCTATTTGGACAGTGTTTTCGAAACTTTTTTCGATCTGTGGCATAGTTATTACTTTTTTATTTGTATCAATTTGTTTGTCACGCATACGCAATAGCTTGCCATCTATAGGAGAAGTGTTGGCGTCTTTAAAACTATTTTTCTTTCTAGAATTGGAGTCGGCGTTCATTTCCTCTAGAATCTTATCGTATAACGGATTTGCTGGGTTTCCTTCTTTATTCTTAACGATGTAAGGCTCAAATTCGCTCGCCGGTTGCAAGAATAAGTTTGTATTTTCGTTTGAAATGTTTTGAGGAACCTTTTTCAAATCGAACGACACTTCTGTTTTGGTGTTGCAAGCGCCATCTTTTAGTTCTTTAGTTTTGAAGCAATCTATGTTTAGAGATTTGGCATCATTGTATAATTCTGGTTTGTCGGTTATTAACATCTGGAAATTTAAAAATACACATGAAGATCTGTATTAAATAAATAACGACACACAAAATGGATCCCGTTTTACCCCCTTAGGGGTTGAATTTTGAAAAATCCCGTCTTAGTGAGCACCTACGTTCTAAAAGGAACCCCATGCAAAATTTGAGACACCACTTGTAGTTTCTGAGACTTCGTGATGAGTGAGTGAGTCAGTCAGTCAAACAGTCAGTGACCTTACGCTTTTATATATTGAAATTGAATACTAGCTTTCCGCCCGCGGCTTCGCCCGCGTGGAATTTTGTGTCACAGAAAAACTTAAACACGCGCGTTCCTGTTTCAAAAACCGGGATAAAAACTATCCTATGTCCTTTCCCGGCACTCAAACTATCTCTATGCCAAATTTCATCAATATCGGTTCAGTGGTTTAGGCGTGAAAGAGAGACACAGACTGACAGAGTTACTTTCGCATTTATACTATTAGTATAGACAGATGCAGGGAAGCAGTTTGAACATACCACATGATCACCAGAGTAGATGACTTCCAAACAAGTGTTGAGGATGTAGTTATCAGCATGATTGTCCAATACGAGGCCCTGCCCACTGTTGGGACTGGCTGCCGGGTCTGGGATGGGCACTGGAAGAGAACGGAGGTTTGAATTAAAATAAGAATAGAATAAAACAAACTTTATTGACAGTAATACAGGGTGGAAACGATAAGTGATCTAACTCGATTATTTGTACTAAACAAGATATCAAACACAGGTTACTGATCCTGAAAGTGCTTTACACTTTACGCGAAATCTCACGCAAATACGACTATGAACATTTTAATTTAAAGGTTATATAGTCGGTACTCACAATTAGTCGGTATTACCGACTATTCCTAGTAAGTTATACTCGTAAATAATGTTGATTGATTGATTGTTCTTGGGCGAGCTGCGCCCTTCTGCTAAAGTGGCATCCGCAGAATACCAGTGGTCGTGACGTGCTCTCTGCCGTCACGGCTTATACTGAGAAGTTGCCATTTTGGTGCGTGTACTCTGTTTTATAATGTTTAAGTTGTTATTTATTTGTAATGCTTTTAATACTCGCATCAAATAAATACCTACTTTCTTTCTTTCTAATTCCGACTATGTCTAGTAACTTACTGTAGTGCACTGGCGGCGAGACCAGCTTCCTAGTATTATCTGGCCGTAGTCGGAATACCGACTATTCCAAGTAAGTTATAGTCGGTAATTCCGACTATGTCTAGTAACTTACTGTAGTGCGCTGGCGGCGAGACAAGCTTCCTAGTGATCTGTCTAGCAGCTATAACACGCTGGCGCCCTTTGCAGTCTCCGAGACAAATTGCTTCTACGTCAGCTTGGAGTTTGCGCGGTATCAACAGCTTGCGGTTGTCATCTGGTCGAATAAGAACACAATAAATTAAATAGACCAAAAACACAACAAAAACAATGTAATATAAGTTGTTATCACCATCAAGCACTGACATGTATTATTAGATTACACACTGGACAGTTTATACTTAAGACAAACATACAAATGACAGTTTGTGCCAATTTGAAACGCCACTACGATTGTCCCGAGAACTAATTTTGACGTACATTGTACGGAGTAACCATAGCAGTATAGATGACCCACGCTGAACTGTCCCACCAAACTCAATGACAGGGGGGCGCTACCATCGTTCAACTATATGGTTTCCAACATGGCAAAAATCTGAACCAGCGATCCGGTATTGACGGTGGCGCCCCACTGTCAATGTCATCGACAGGACAGTCCAGTATTTTGGAACTATAAGCGAGAAAGAACTTCACAAATGGCAATGCCAGACTTTGTATGGAAGGTGGCGTCTTTTTTTTTTCGCACGGCCATCGACCAAACCTTGTTTTTTTAATTACAAAACAGTGTAATAAACTAAACTTACTATGACATGTATACCTCTAAACTCAGTCTGAACTGAGTTACGAGCACGCAAGTTTTGTAAGAAATGCAACAAAATAGTGACATTGTATGACATGTGTAAACAAACAATACCATCTATTATAGGCTCCAGCCATCAGTTTGGAGCAGAATCAGCGCAATAAAAAAAAGACAACCCTAGGCGCGGGCCACCTGGGAGAATGAATTCCAGACTGCTCGATACGACCAATAAAATTAAATAGTTAATTTTTATAGTTCCAAAATACTGAGCTGTCCTGTCCATGGCATTGGCGGTGGGGCGCCACTGTCAATACCGGATCGCTGGTTCCGATTTTTGCCATGTTGGAAACCATATAGTTGAACGATAGTGGCGCCCCCCTGTCATTGAGTTTGGTGGGACAGTTCAGCGTGGGTCATCTATATTGATAAACCGTCACTGTCAAAAGGGCGCTTAATTGGCGTAATAACCCCCATGTTGGTACCCGCTGAAAACCAGCTTCGTGACTTGACGACTTGTGTGTCACGTCACGATTTTCGCTGAGCGGGCGCCTTTTCAGCATGGCTCAGTAATATTTAACCCCTGTACATGTATGCACATAAATGTTAATGCTGAATAAAGGTATTCTATTCTAAATAATCTTGACTGGGCGCGGAATTTTTTGTATGGTCGAAAGGGGGCGCGTCTCAAATAAGTTTGGGAACCAATGCACTAGACCTGTAGTTTATTAAGTTAGTTGTAGGTACCTGATTGAATGTACTCCTCAATGAAGTCGTACTCGTCCAGTAACGTATCCAAATCGATAGCAATGTATACAGTCTTATCCTCTACTTCCTGATCAAATTCTTCATCCGCTAGTAGCTGGAAAAAAAACCGAACAAAGTCACTTACATGCTAAAAAAAGAAGAAAAAGAATAATTCACATGATGCGTTTGGACGCGGTATCGAAACCGCGCAATCAAAAGCGACTAAACGCCGTGTTTGGCGATTTTAAGTGAGCGGTATGAAATACAGTGGTCGCTACATTCAGCTTCTAAAAAGCGGCTAACTCGCAAATCGCCGATGTTTAAAGTTGTCACACTGGATACGATAGAATGCATCTAAAGTCTGGTCGCCGAGCACGTAGAATTTTGTCCAATGACCCCGAGCTACCCATCCTTATCGCTCGCGCGTAATTATATTGCTGTCGCGACTGTGAGACGGGCGGCAGCAGTGAGTGTGTGACCGCGACAGCAATATAACTACGTGCTCGACTATAGTGACGTGTGGCAAATCCTGAAAGTATTAAAATAAACTTACAATGTCATCATCTTCCATCTGATCATCGATGCCTTCGCTGCTAACCTGGTCCCCGAGGTCAAAGGTCACTCGCTTCTTCGGGGTCGTTTTTGGCGTTTCTTCTTTCCTAGTTTTTATTTTTCTACCTGAAACTTAAGTTAATACAGGTTGTTTAAATAAGTTGTGGCAGTCGGACGTCTTTCGGCTGAAACGAACGAAATAAGTAGCAAGTTATGGTACAACAACACAGATCACAGAAACTAAAGGGAGATGTGACAAGGGGGCGTGGCCGGTGTCGCAGCAACATGTCCAAAAACAGAACACATTGCACGTGACAGCAATGATGACAGCAGCGATTGATCAACAGAGGGGTCATTCCATCGTTTCGGGTGTTACGTTCGTACACACATATTCAACAATTTCTTGTATTTTGAAATAGTATTTTAATAATATTAGTGCCTTAATCTGTCNGATCTCACAACTTTTTACCGTAGAACAACTGAGTTGCGAGACTTGGTTTTTTTGACAAGTATTGTTTTTGATGGGATTCTTCTAAAATGTTTAATCAAGATTTAAAGCAGATTCTTTTTCCAATATTTTCCTTAATGGATGTCCATTCATCTATCAAAGCATAAAAACCTAAGCCAGCTTATCCCGTCCAATGTTGAGCCAGCATCAGCAGCCGTGGCGGTTCTTCGAGGCGTCGCCATTGGCCAAGTGCCAGCGTTGTACATACGAGTACACATTTGCGCTAACGCTACAAACTACCTTCACTTACTGCTAATAATTATAAATAAGCAACCAAAACACTAGTTGTAATTCTTCATTTTTGGGGAAAAAAAAACTGTAAAATGTCCAAGGGTATTTAATTTATACTGTAGCAAAAAACTCCATTAACTTCTATAGAAGATCCATAGCATGGTAACAATACCTTACCTTATCTTAAACCAGTGCGAACCAAGTCATTTGCTTTATCGGGCAGGCGGTCGATCCACGCTGCATTTCCGTCGCATGGTCCCTTTTACTAAAGGTATATCGCATTCATAGTGATCACCTTTGCACTGCCATAATACCGTGCTGACCCCTGCTGCTATCTGGCTCGTTAGGAGTCCTGGCAATTGGCCAGGGTGTAATGAGCTCGTATCTGTCCACGATTGGGTATAATGGCAGTCAAATACCTAATTACTTCCACTGTCTCTTTTATGGGTTCACGAACTGCTAAAAGGCCATAAACGGGAAAGATTATTTTAATCGTTTTATTTTGAGCGTTGAAAGTTGCGCGTTGAAAGGAACGCGTGGAAATAAGTTTCTATCGCAAATTACGCAACTACACTGGGGTACTTATGTTATCAATTAAAATTGGCTATGTCATTCTGTGGACATAAAATTTTAATTGCAATCCGGTCGAGTTAATTGCGCACCTGACTGCTGTAACGTCACATCGACACTTTCGTACGGATGGGACGAATGCGGGAGGTGCGCGGGTAAATGCGAGGGAGAGTTGTATTACAGCGAGGTGCACAGTTGTCTCGATCGGGTTGTACTTTTGTTTTACTTACATATTTCATTTCATCATCATCATCAGTCATTTAGTCTCCACTGCAGGAGCACGATCCTCTCTAATGCACGTCTTAAAAACTTTTGCACGTCGCATGCGACATAATATGCTGGAATTAACTAAATTAACACCAATCTGTAACCATGTTCTTGCAAATAAATGATTTTATTTATTATTTATTTATTACTAGCTGACCCGGCGAACTTTGTTCCGCCTTAATGGCAATAAATAAGCAGACTTTTTTTTTTATTTCGAACGGGATAAAAAGTATACAGTATACTTTCTTTTATACAGTGTGAGTCACGTTAAAGTGTACATATGAAAATAGATGAAACTAGACCTACTTTTATCGACAAAAAAGAGGTCAAAAAATTTTTGAGATTTTTTTAAAATTTTTTATAGAATTTTTTTTCTTCCAATTACTTATTGTAAAGAAAACGTAATAACTTTTAAACTAAGCGGTATATCCTGATAAAATAAAAACAGTAATAATGCTAAATAACAGGCGATACTAAAAAAATACATAAAATACACAAAAAATGCCAACAAATAACTTTTTTTGTTCTTTTGGCGGCCTTTTTGGTGTATTTTATGTATTTTTTTAGTATCGCCTGTTATTTAGTATTATTACTGTTTTTATTTTATCAGGATATACCGCTTAGTTTAAAAGTTATTACGTTTTCTTTACAATAAGTAATTGGAAGAAAAAAAAATCTATAAAAAATTTCAAAAATTTTTTGACCCCTTTTTTGTCGATAAAAATAAGTCTAGTTTCATCTATTTTCGTATGTACACTTTAACGTGACTCACACTGTATATAGACTAGCTGACCCGGCGAACTTTGTTCTGCCTTAATGGCAATAAATAAGCAGACTTCTTTTTTAATTTCGAACGGGATAAAAAGTATCCTATGTCCTTCTCCTGGCTCTAAACTACCTCCCTGACAATTTTCAGCTAAATCGGTTCAGCCGTTCTTGAGTTATAAGTGGAGTAACTAACACGACTTTCTTTTATATACAGTGTGAGTCACGTTAAAGTGTACATATGAAAATAGATTAAACTAGAGCTATTTTTATCGACAAAAAAGAGATCAAAAAATTTTAGAGATTTTTTTTAAATTTTTTATAGAATTTTTTTTCTTCCAATTACTTATTGTAAAGAAAACGTAATAACTTTTAAACTAAGCGGTATATCCTGATAAATTAAAAACAGTAATAATGCTAAATAACAGGCAATACTGAAAAATACATAAAATACACAAAAAAAGGCCAACAAATAATAAAAAAATATACTCTTTGAAAAAAATCTGCTTAAAAATTCGTGTTTTTTTGGTTATTTGATAAATTTCTCCAAAAAATGCCCGTATAACCGGGGGTTTTCATTACTTTGTATTATTCTCTATCGTATTACCTTCGTAAAACCAAAAATTGCATATCTCTATCCCTATCACAACGTTTGCAATGATCGTTTGAACTAAGCCTCTCCGGGCGCGCCATTCAACGCTTCGTTAACAACGAAACTGAAAATGGCCCTAGATTTGTATTTTTGATAAAGACAAGTAAGATTTCAAATAAAAACAAAAGATTTCGAAGTAAAATAAGCATTTTAGTTACAATTAAAATTGTCTCTACCTGTTAGTGGAGAATAATGTTGTGGCAGGCCTTTGTTCAAACGATCATAGCAAATGTTGTGATAGGGATAGAGACATGCGATTTTTGGTTTTACAAAGATAATACGATAGAGAATAATAAAAAGTAATAAAAATCACCTGTTATAGGGGCATTTTTTTGAGAAATTTATCAAATAACCAAAAAAATACGAATTTTTAAGCAGATTTTTTTCAAAAAGTATCATTTTTTATTATTTGTTGACATTTTCTGAGTATTTTATGTATTTTTTCAGTATTGTCTGTTATTTAGCATTATTACTGTTTTTATTTTATCAGGATATACCGCTTAGTTTAAAAGTTATTACGTTTTTTTTCCAATAAGTAATTGGAAGAAAAAAAATTGTATCAAAAATTAAAAAAAAATCTCAAAAATTTTTTGACCTCTTTTTTGTCGATAAAAATAGGTCTAGTTTCATTTATTTTCATATGTACACTTTAACGTGACTCACACTGTATATAGATATAAGATATAATTTACCAGAAAATGGAGGATTTGGCCTACACTCCCCACGCTGGCCAGACGGGTTGGGGAGGCATATTTCATTTACTTAATTATAATTTTATTTAAGCCTTAGTTCGATGTCGGGAACGATTGCAACGAATAGCACTCAAATTAGGTAAAACCTGTTTCGAAGTAGGCTTTCTTCAGTTCACAAACGACAATCGGTTTATTTTCACTCTAGACATATTTATCTTTCAGAGCTATTTACAGTTCGATCGCTTGAGCCAAATGACGTCCACTGCTGGACAAAAGCCTCCCCTAAGGATTTCCAGATTTATAGTACCTACTACTATTTATAGTTTGCCTTACCCCGTGAGATTATTATTCTGAATAAAAATTGGCAAAAGCCTCTCGTGCATGACATGAATACCGGGAACGTTTCACAATTTGCCGAAATCACGTGGTCCTTTTCACCTATTCAGCTAGCTGAGCTGTAGTGCAACTCGAGGGTAATCTGGCCCAAGCGGACCCGGGTAATACGGCCACGGCTGGCGGCGCGCCAAACGGCACGGATAACTGCTGCCAAACACTATCACTTCGGATATTTACGGATCCGTTATCAGAAGCTTTAATTCTGTTTAGCATGGCTTATCTGAGATTACTTATATGAGTCTTAATCACATCCGAAAAATTAAACCGATGCTATCCAGCCGCCTTGAGCATTAAAATAACAAGATTGAAGATTTTATGCAATAAAGAAGAACGGTCATCTGTGACCCAGGCCCGACAGAAACGAGACATACCTCAGTTTTTTTGTCATGTCTTAATTAGTTAAATTATATATTTTTTATATTCGAAATCTAATAACACCAAAATATTACCCTTTGTTATTGTTCAAAATTTTTCATGCCAAATTTCAAGATTCTAGGTCGACTGGAAGTACCCTTTAGGTTTTGATTCCCTTGCGAGTACTTGCGAGTTTCAAAATATGCAGCTTAAATTGCTGTTTCTTTTGNCAAATACCTGTTTTTTTGTTTCGGGTGTTACATCGCCGAGGTAACAAGAAAACACACTTAAAACTTGATGATTATCAATTTTTTGGGACTATGGTGCTATCTACCGATACTATGATAAATACCCTCAAATCATATAGCGATGGCTCCTACGTATACTGGCGTAAGTGAAAAAAGTAAATTTTACAGGAGAGCCATTTTAGTGGCCAGAACCATATTTTTGGGTCATATCTTCTGACCTACTAAAACGAATTTAATGAAATTTCACATTTAGCCTNGAGCTGGCTGAACAGCGGCATTGAGCAGACTACCATGGTCACGAGGAAAAAAACAACTGCAGGAGGGGATTAGGGGTCCCCTCGAAGTTAGAGGCTCGTTTGAGATCGAGCCATAGCCTGAGACGGAGCTGCGGACGAATGTCCAGCTTAAGAAAATAACTCGTGGCTCCGTTTCATTGGGCTCCGGTGGACACCGGGTTATTAGTGGGTAGTCCCCGCCCTTCGGCCTTTAGTGAGCACTGGCGGGGAGTCTCACATAACCCACTAGTCATCCCCATCGGCCAGTGGATAAGCGCAAAATTTCCCGCCACTGGCCCTCTCGGTACGCCATGGAGTAACCTCGTTGATGGTAAACTACAATGATCATACCCTTTAGTGATTAAAGTCTAATGACCCCAAGCTACCCATCCTTATTGCTCCCGCGTAATTATATTGCTGTCGCGCTCGCACACTCACTGCGGCCGCCCGTCGCACAGTCGCGACAGCAATATAAATACGCGCGAGCGATAAGGATGGGTAACTTGGGGTCATTGGACGAAATTCAATGTGCTCGGCGACCGGACTTTAGAATGAAAACTTACCTTCTGTATTCATGCGTAGATCTCCCAAATCCACCGATTTCCTTCTTTTAGCCTCCAACAGGTATCTCAAATCGTTACAATCCAGTTCGTCAGCCTGCTTGGCTTCTTTACTACTTTCACCTTTACTGCCTCCACTTAAAGTTGATTTCATGTGAGCAGAGTTATCCAAATTCAGCAGGCTCTCTGTAGAGTTCGATCGATTAAGACCAGGCAAGATGTTTGACCGTTGTCCAGACTCGAAATGGGTCCGTGGTCTTTTGAGCATTGGTTCTCTTATAATTGATTTCTCCTTAATCTCTTCAGGTTTTTGAAAACTGTTGTGTTTAGAACCAAATATTTGCGAGTTATTCATGATTCTCTTGTCGAAACTTTTAATAGGCGTTGACGTTTCATAGAATTTGTTAGAAAACGCCCTGTTTTCAGCTTTTCGGACGCTTGCATGTTTTGTGTACATCCCAAAACGATTATTCATGCTCATATCACAAGTTTGGACCAAGATCCGGTCTGTGTCAACTTGTGCGGCTGGGTCAAAAGTCTGCATCTTCATGCCCATATCAGGAGCATTCATAGCATATATCGGTGGAGGAAGCTGAATCGGAGTCCATATTATATTAGGCATGTACGGTTCAACGTACTTCGGAAAGATCGCTTGACCGAACGTTTGCATCTGTGTGTTGTTGATCACTTTCTTCGACATTGGATTGTAAATTGTCCTTTTCATAAAGGAGTTGTTCGGGAAAGATATGTTGTGGGAGTTATCAATCGGCGGGCTGGACGGTTCGGGGTAGGAGTGCGATTTATCTGTGATTTTATAATCTCTTTTGAAACTTTGGCTCTGGAAGAGAAAGTATAATCAAACGATGATAATAATAATAATTTAAGCCTTTATTACTGGATAAAAGATATTTCACAATTTAGCTGCACTCATCTCCAGTTTGTCCTTGGAAATAGGCCTCCTCCATGAATTCCATGCCTCTCCGTTTCTAGCGATTTCTGGCCATAATGACCCTACCTGAACCTTGTTGATATACTAGTTTTAAATATCCAATCTGACCCTTCACAAATTATTATCCTTCATATAGTTAGTATGTTAACTTAGTACTAATTGCTTACTTTGGGGCTAGATGGTGGTTTGAAATTGACCAAAGATATTTATTTCTTTTTTTGGAATGCCACACTTCTAACAGTATTTCCTATTGGGATTTCATACACCATTCTTTTGCAGTTTTTTACATAGAATTTTTTCAAACTATTAAAATCATCAACATTTTTAAAACCTGAAAATGTGTTTTTGCTAAAAATTTAATATTAATCTCATGTTTATTGATGTTACAGTGAGATTATGTAGTCTGTTTGTGTACCATTAAACATGTGGTAGCTAAAAAACAAACTAGATGCAAGTTTGCTAAAATTGAATGACTTACAATATGTTTCATCTTGCGGCTACCGTTCTAGATGAAACCACCGAGATTAGGCAACAGGCTAGTTAAGTTGAAACATAACACCTTCGTGGAACGCTAACTTTAATCTAAACAACGTTCCATATAACTGCAAGTACATGATACTGCAATACCATTCGATAAAATAATAATACTTACATCATTCTCATTTAAACTCCACGCTGTTTCGCCATTCAAAACGTTAAAGTAATAAAATTTACCAGGAAAACTTTTTGATGGGCATAAAATCCAACCGTTCTTGTTTTGATTCATCATGATTTACATGAATTCACAGTCAACAATCTGCATTATACATAGTAGTCACAGAGATTTAACTTATCAGTACTCGAGTATAGCAAACAAAGCTCGTTACAGTCAAGAAACTTGATGATTTCAATGAAATAAAATATTTTGCTTACACCCGCGAAAAGAAAAGTTCAACGAGCGAAATGAGCGAAATCAGCGAAATGAAGCGATTTTTGTTCGGGTAGTATAATCTGTGGCCAAGTTTAACTGCGTTTTATTTTTTCTTTCGAACTAATGCTAGTTATACACTATACTTTAATTTATTTTAGCTTAAAATTATGCTATGCATGCAGTCAGGCACAAATTTTTCGAAGATTTACATAGTAGTTATTTATAAATGTAAGAACTCTATCTGTATAGCTATAAATATTTTAAATTGGGTTTCATTTCGAATTTACTTTTTATTCGATGGCAAGTAACGAAACGCAATTCAACGTGCTTGGTTGCAGCGGGAGTTACAAAACTTTTGAAAAGTTTTGTGAATAAAGTTGCAGATCACGAATTATTTCTTTAAGAATTTTTATATGCTACGACAAGTTCCAGATTCTTTAAATATGTGAATCTATCTTTAAGACTAATTATAAATAAAAAACGAAATTTATTTCATAAATGTTTTATTCAAAACTTAAAGCTAGTCATGAGCAAAAGTTTAAAAACTTTAACTTATATTAGGAACGATCACAGCTACATGCTATCCCTTCACATTAACTTAACACTTATTATATTTTAATATCACACGAAAAATTTCGTTTTACTAAATTGAGGTTTATGTTGAATCCTAATTTAACAGTACAACAGTCCACTCAGTCTTTCTTGTTGTATTGTTCTCAATTAATACATTATATAACTTTTCAAAAACATATACATTATTCATAACAGTCAAATAAACAGGCACTTTTACACGTCCCAAATATAGCTCGCCCTACCACCACTTCGGAACAACATGGGCTGGTGCTGAGAAGAAGTGGCGGAAGAAACTCAGTCACCTTTTTAGCCTAATTACATAATATTATATCATTCATCCAATCGAATCGAAGACTTTAATTTGAATCTAGTAATTTTATGTAAATTAGTACCTAATGTAAGTACTCGTATACGTGGCCCTAACTAAAAAAAGATACATGTATAGGAATTTCGACGTCCCTGCTTTTTTTGTAAGTAAAAGCATATTTAACCCTGAATAGCTAAAGAAAAATCATGAAACATGAATACATTTGGTGATAATCTATTAAGTAATACCAACAAAAATAATCGAATTCCGCTAAAGAAATTATCAAATCTTGTTCTAAATTTTATTCTTTCAAAAAGCCTCAGACAAACGTCGCATTACGAAATTTAAATTTACTAAATAACTACAACTAAGTTGGTCTTTATTATCTATTAAGTGTAAGTGGTTTTATAAATATTTCATTCTCATATTTTAAAGATTTGCAATCACTCTTGCTAGTGTTTTTGCTCTTAAAATGTAGTAAGGCGTTCACAGTTTCGTTGCTTAGTTGGTGAATGTACAAATGTTTTGCTAAAAAGTAGCTGCCTGTGAGGAAGGTTAGAGTAAGTACTAAGTAAGACACTGGCGGTAAGATGACGGTCATGAAGTAGATCGTCTTACTGATGTGTGGAGGTAGGCCTTCTTGATTCTGGAACAGAATAGATTACAAGTCAAAAAGAAGCATGTAACTTTTTCAAGGCATACGATTTTAGTCTCTGGTCTACTGGAGTCGGCATATCTGGTACCAAATTGTGTATGATAAAATATGGGAATAAGACTTTTAGTCGGCCGATAGTTGGGCACGATTCTATTTTGTATGAAGACCACTAACAAATCGGTGTAATGTGCGCACTTCCATACAGCCCATACTGATTAACTGCCCGATTAAACTATCGGCCAACTAAAAATCGGTGTTCTGTGCCCAGGCTTAAACTACAACAAGAAGCTTCTACTTACATATTCAGCCCAGAACAGAGGTAGAACGAGGTTGGAGAACTTCTGGTACTCGTACGAGAAGCCAGACAGCTCGTGGATACGAAGGTTGCTCTGCATCCGCGCTACGGAATGGAACGGTGTGCCTGTCAGCTGGACAGGACAAAAAACGGACTTATTTAATTTTAGAGATTTATGCCTGTTTTTTTTCACCATCAATCCCTAATTTTTAAGTGACCTTTAAGAAAACATAATTCCTGTTATATGTGTTACCATAGGGGACACTTACAAATTAGAGATTGATAGTGAAAATGGGCATAAGCATATAAACTAAAGTAATACATATTTTAATCTAGGATATTATCAGTGGCACAGCATGCCTTTGGCGGGCCCTATATCAAAATTTGTTAGGTGCTCCTCCTCATCAGACATGGACATGAGGCCTTTTTAGCATATCAAGCTATTGGGGCCTGCCTATCAGGCCTGCATTCAGCGCCTTCGCTATCCTTATGAAGTTGTCTGTCCACATTGAGGCATCTTTTTTAGACTCTCCGAAGACTACAGACTTCCCGATTATAATTTCAACGAATTTTTATGAAGAATCGGCCGATATATTTTATGTCTATACGTATAAGTACTGATTAACAGCCTGGATGATGATGATAAAGAAACTTACCGGTTCCACAACGACGTACGAGTTGTGCTTATATCTGTCCGGTTGGAGACCAGTCACGTACGCGTCTTTGGGCGGGTGGCCCGTGTAGAAATGAGGGTAGGACACCACCATTGGGAAGTCTGGAACAAATAATACATTGAAATGTGGATAACATACCAGAATAAAGCTTCAACCACACCAACGAGTGCAGATCACCATCGCCGGCGCAATCATAGGCTAATGACAGGTTGCGCGGACTGTCATGGGTTGGTGTATTGAAGCAATAAATGGTTTCGGCAGTGCAGCCCCCCTAGACAAGTAGCAAAACGTGCCATTTGTACTTTTGGAAGTCCTTCACGGAGCAAAGTAAACTCCAAACAAAAAAAATCAACTTCGAATTTACAACTGTCACGTTTTGCCACTTATTTAGGGGGGGCAGAATACTAATTCCACTCTTCCCGAGGATGGCGATTTTATGCGAACATCAGACCTCCCCAACCCGTCTGGCCAGCGTGGGGAGGGAGTGTATGCCAAATCCACCGTTTGCCTCTGGTGGGAATTAGAGGGAGTCGTGTTCCTGCCTGGAGATGAGAACTATGGAAAGGCATGCCATATCGTGGCCTAAATTCTAGAACCTAGCTGTCTAACGCCCGTATTCACCAAATCGAACGCACAACGTTTCATTGTTTCGTTGATTCTCTGTGATTGATTCGTTGTGTCACCCTGTGGGTCCACGCGCACTGTGAGACCTCATAGTAATGTCTGTGAATGCACGACTTACTCAACTCTAGCTTATGCCACTCAACTTACCAAAGTAACACTTGGATCCGTCGCTCAGCCCTGGCGGCAGGCTCGGCACTGTATCGTAACAGTCCGTACCATTGCTCGTTCTCTCAAACACGCTTTCAGAGAGGTTGTAGCGATATACTGGCACGTTGTCCACTGTTATCTCCTCTGAGGAAGAAATTTGGATGTAAAGTACCTACAACTCAAATGAAAAAGCCCTGCCTCTTTCGTAGCTAGGGGGAGTCCCCCCCCCCCTCCTAAAATACCAATGCCATACCTTAACAACTACCATAAACAATGACTGTGGAAAAGGATACGAGGACGCAGGCGCTTAAAATGGTGCGTATTATGAGGCCTGTCTCCAGTTATTGGACTATTATAATGGGCTGATAATGATGATTTAAGGAGTTTATTACATGTAAATGTGAAGTATACACCGCTTAGAAATCTTGCTCAACATCAGTTTCTGACAGAAGTTAAGATATTTTTATCAAAGTTTTTTGTTGCCCGGACTGGTGGTAAAATATGAGAAGTAAGTCTGCATAACACCATCTAAAGTCCGGTCTGTGAGCACGTAGAATTTTGTCCAATGACCCTAAGCTACCCATCCTTATCGCTCGCGCGTAATTGCTGTCGCGACTGTGCGACGGGCGCCCGCAGTGAGTGTGCGAGCAGACAATAAGTACTCACCATCAAAATAAAGAGGCATGACCTTGCACACGGTCTTCCTCCAGTACAATAGGATGTCTTGCTTGGTCAGCCGTTGCTGGTACATCACACCTTCTGTAGACCCGTACAGCCGGTCGGGACATACCTGAAAAAAAAACATGTTTACTATTAAAATAGAAGTAGTTAAACTACGGGACTATTACCACCTCTCGTTCCCATCGCTGCAACTCCTTTGTAGCCAGGATCTACAGCTTGGCCGCCAATAACCCAACCAGTGAAGGTCAAGTTTGTCTCGTGGGAAGGTTAAGCTGTTATTGGACCCGCAACGAAATTAATCAGAAGAACATAGTACTTAGTCTGACTCCATAACAGCAATAATAACAGCATTGTTGTGTTTCGACAGTTAGAGGTAAGATAGCCAGTTCCTCTGCGGTTGAGCTCGCGGGTGAAGTTCGCTTCCACCTTCAGCCTGATCATCATTACCATCAGGTGAGATGCATGCCAAGAGCTTCCTCGTTGTGGATAAAAAATCCTATTCTTCCTTACATCAGGATCGTATCCCGGCAGCTGTGGGTGTCCACGGAACTCGTCGATTTGGAAGAAGCTCCGGTCCCCCCACTGGTGACCCACTTTGACTGTCACATCGTCCGTGAAGTCTGAGTAGATCTGAAAATAAAATGGCGGTTTTTATACAGGATGGTCCAAAAGATTCTGCAAAACAAACGAATGATTCCTCGAAAACGGTACGAAGTAGGGGCGCGTGGATAACGGAAAACTGCATCGATTTATGCTATGGAAAACAGCGTGCTTTATGGGTAATTTTTGTTCTATGTGACTGTACGACGCTTTAGAACTAACTGATTCCAAGTCTTAACAATCAGTTCACATAAGTCCAAATATGGTTACCTCAAGAACTATTGTATACTTAACAAAAAAATGACGAACAGTTCGTAAATTCACCTTAACTTTGACTAAGCTTGGCTTTCTGATAACTTCTGCACAGTGCAAGCCGAACTTATTCGTCTTGGCAACATTTTACATGAAATTACGTGGCCAATACGTTCGCAACTACGTCTTTGTTACAATTGGAATAAGATTGTGTTATAAATCAATTTTTTGGCCACTTCGAATGTCACGAACTATTTGACGCTGACTGTACCTAATATAAAAGACCTGTTTAGTAGGTATAGTCTGGTCCGTGAGCACGTAGAATTTTGTCCAATGACCCCAAGCTACCCATTCTTATCGCTCGCGCGTAATTATGTTGCTATCGCGCTCGCACACTCATTGCGGGTGCCAGTCGCACAGTCGCGACAGCAATATAAGGGGTCATTGGACAAAATTCTACGTGCTCACGGACCGGGCTTTAGATACTTACTCTGGCCAGCATGCCCATGTTACTAACAGGCACCAAACCCGGTACCAAGCTTTTAGACGTATCCAGCACCGGTTCTCGGTACTCCCAGAGGTATTCGTAGATGGTCTTCTTCACGAACAACTTGCTGCCGTGGGAGTTGACCAGAAGACGGAAGCCAGTTCGAACGAGGTAGTTCGCGTCGTGGAGGTACGATGCTATGCCCTGTGGAGAGAAAGTATCATGATTATCAGCATTTAGTCTCCATTGCAGAAGAATATTCACTCTGTAAGCCAAACCGGTTCGAACTAATTACGTCCGTATTCACAAACGATACTTGCTTAAGTGAGGCAGCAAATCGAACGCACAGCGTTGAATAAAGCTTTGCGATTGGTTCGTGCGTGGTGTGACCCTGTGCGTCCACACGCACTGTGAGACCTCATATGCGTTAGTCAAACCCGTTCGAACCAGATAGTTCGCGTCGTGGAGGTAAGTAGCTACGATGCTATGCTCAGTGAAGAAAGATAAAGGTCATATTCATCATCAGGTCACTTAGTCTCCACTGCAGAAGAATGACTCAAGTCAAATTCGTTCGAAGCAGATAGTTTTCGTTGAGGAGGTAGGTACGATGCTATGCCCTATGGAGAGAAGGTATCATCAGGTCATTTAGTCTCTGCAGGAACAGGACTCTCTAATTCGCGAGACAAACGGAGGATTTGGCCCACATTCCCCACGCTACAGCCCTGGCCAGACAAGTTGGTCTAATGTTCGCGTTACTAATCTAATTTGTCAAGCAAATGGAGGATTTGGCCAACATTTCCCACACTGGCCAGGGTATTTGTTACTAGCTTCTGCCAGCAGGGCTTGCGTGGATTCTTTCTGTCTACCCCAAAAGAAGAAAAAGTAGAAAGTTTTTACAGCCTGTAGGCCTAAGATGCGCGCCGCGTTAAGCGGTTATCGCGCCATTTTATCGATTTTGCCCATACATATTATCTTAGGCCTACTAGTCGAGTTAACTGCGCACCTGGCGGTCGTGACGTCACATCGAAGGTAGGGACGAGGCGATGCGGGGTGTGCGGGTGAGTGCGAGGGAGAGTCGCATTCCAGCGAGGTGCGCAGTTAACTCGACCAAATTGTACTATCTCCCGATCATTTGCCATAGGTAACTGCCATAAATATGACAATGAGGTACATATATATGCCTTGATCACACGTACCGAGCAAACGGGCGAGTATGAACATTACGCCGAGTGCTCGGCCAAGAGCACTATTTCGCCCATTTGCTCGGTACGTGTGATCAAGGCATATAGGTACATATAGGTGTACCTCATTGTCATATTTATGGCAGTTATGACAAATGATCAAGGCTTAAGGCTGGGTCTAAACTATTCATAAGGCTAACACGGGAAGTATGGGTTCCCCATATATATTTTTTAGTAAATGTTGCCTATAATTAGGTCATTATTCGGTTCAATTGTATGTTTATGTTCGGGTAAGTAACTGATCAAACTTTAAATACTTTTAATAGACACACTGTATTAAACCAGGTATGAATATTATATTGTCGCTGCTTTTTAATCACATCTGAAGATATGGCATTCGCAATAACAGTCAATAAGATTTTCTGGGATTCGAACCTGAGGCCTTCCTGATTTCAACTATGCCTAATCGTCCATCATTAGATGATATCTTAAGGTGCATAAAAACCACATACCTATTACGGATAGGTAAACACGTCTTCTTCTTTAATAACTAAGTCACGATTATTCAATCAACGCAAAGTACTGTCAATATTGTCAAGGGTGAGTCGGATTCTCGAGTCGGGGTTCCGTACCCACTTTTTTCCTCTTTTCCTTTTGGGTAATTCCTTCTTTAGCTCAACTTAGACTAATAATTACTTAAATTCCTTCTAAAAGAAATTAAAACTGCAAAAGACACGTTCTCTTATGAGAGACAATACTGGAAGAGATCGCTTCTGATAAGACCGCCTTTTTTAACGGTGTCCTTCGGTGCCATTAATATGAAGCCGCGAGTTATTCGCCTAAATTGTGCCGTTTCTTTTGTGCAGGTATGTAGGTACCTTACTTATGTCTATCTTTTCTTGTTTTGTGTGTTCTATCTAAAGCCCGGTCTTTGAGCACGTAGAATTTTGTCCAATGACCTAGATACCCATCCTTATCACTCGCGCGTAATTATGTTGCTGTCGCGCTCGCACACTCACTGCGGGCGCCCGTCGCACAGTCGCGACAGCGGGTAGCTTGGGGTCATTGGACAAAATTCTACGTGCTCTGGGACTATAGACATGCGGTAGCGTGTCAAGCCAAGTTCAAGTATCAACTCTACTCTGGTTATCTATCTACCTACTCTCTCTGCATAATTCTGAGTCGCTTGTATAAAGAAGTCTTTATGTGTGCCTTTGTCAAACAGAAAATTGAAAATAATAGGTACGTAGTTCAGTTTTTGCTGTTAGTTTACGGAACCCTAAAACCTTTAATCTTAATAGGTAATTATATCCACGGTATAACACTGTATAATACTGTCTTACATAGTATTAAACGGCATATAATTACATAAGAGGGGTCCTTGACACACAGTGAGTCACATTATGTCACCATGAATGCGTGTAATGGAACGCGTTTTGGCGCGAAACGGTTTATTATCTCTGCCGTTTGACGGTGCAGTTTGAGGTTATATTCTAGGGTCATGGCGAAGTGTGTAAAATGTTTTTAGTTTGTTGGCTCAATGAGGGATTTCCCAACTATTTTAACCTCGATTGGCATTCTTTGGTTACACATTAAAATTTTGTGACACTCTTTAAGCACACTAAAAACTTCTAAGTAACTTAATATCTTGGGTCCATATTGGCTCACCTAAAGTTATTTACCCGAAATTGTTCTTCCTAACGATTTTAAATCCGAATGATCACTCTTCCTAAAATTTTTCATCCTAAAGTTTTCATTCATACTATTTGTAGTGCTACCGGCGATGTTCATAACACTCATGTTTCCGAAAATTGTAATTAATAATATCATTTATGTAAATATATTTAAACTCCTACTGTTTTTTATCATAACACTTTTATCCCTAAACATTACCATAATTTCACTCATACCATAGAATAATAATAAATACTACGTACAGAAGTACGTTCTTCGCGAATGAAACGTAAGGCCACAGTTTTAACCTAAACCAATAATAATGAATAGACCGATTCGTTTCTGGAACTTGACTGAAAATCTGGAGCGGGACACTGGCTTCGCTCGCTCGGCTCGTGCATTGTGGTCACAGTTCTAACCTAACCTAAACCAATAATTATGAATAGGACCGATTCGTTTCTGGAACTTGACTGAATGACTGGAGCGGGACTCTGGCTTCGCTCGCTCGGCTCGTGCGTTGTGGTCACAGTTCTAACCTAACCTAAACCAATAATTATGAATAGGACCGATTCGTTTCTGGAACTTGACTGAATGACTGGAGCGGGACTCTGGCTTCGCTCGCTCGGCTCGTGCGTTGTGGTCACAGTTCTAACCTAACCTAAACCAATAATTATGAATAGGACCGATTCGTTTCTGGAACTTGACTGAATGACTGGAGCGGGACTCTGGCTTCGCTCGCTCGGCTCGTGCGTTGTGGTCACAGTTCTAACCTAACCTAAACCAATAATTATGAATAGGACCGATTCGTTTCTGGAACTTGACTGAATGACTGGAGCGGGACTCTGGCTTCGCTCGCTCGGCTCGTGCGTTGTGGTCACAGTTCTAACCTAACCTAAACCAATAATTATGAATAGGACCGATTCGTTTCTGGAACTTGACTGAATGACTAGAGCGGGACTCAAGTATACGTGCTAATGCCAACAAACTTGAACTTTAATATATCGTCAAAGAAAGAAATCTAAACAAAAAAGATATGACTTTGAATAATAGTGTAAAATATGGTTATGTTGAGAAAATGTAGGAGAACAAATAAAAGTATAAAAGATGTTTATTGCTAATGACATTATGAAGTTGAATGATTCGGAATTATGAACATTAGAGACAGAGTAGTTAGGAATTGTGATTGTTAGGATGAAAAATTTTAGGAAGAACATTTTCGGACTTCCAATTTTCGGAGTTGAAAATTTAGGTGAACTTTGGCGCACCCTAATATCTTATTTACTTATTTACGTTATTCGTAATCTGAAGACAACTCTGAGTGGGTAAGGAGTCCTACATTATGCTTTAAATGCCTGCATCTGGCAACGGGACTATTCCCACCTCTCTTTCCCACCACTGCAACTCCTGTGTAGCCAGGATCTACAGCTTGACCGCCAATAAAAACCCAACCAATGAAGGTCAAGTTTGTCCCGGGGACTGTCATTGGACCCGAAACGAAATTAATCAGAAGAACATAGGTGGAGTTCGAGGGAGTTCCTGTATCTGGCAATTCTGGCAAGCGAGTAGCTAGCATGACAATTAGCACACACAAAGCCGTTTTGCAAGTATATACCTACATACAACACGACAGCGCGAATCTTCGGATTATCGCGATGTATGTGGATTGTGGTGTGGCCCAGAAGTTACTGGCAATATCTCCGTCTTAAAGCAAAAAAAAGTATGTCCTAAGCAGGACCGGATTAATTTTGGTGCTCGGTGCTCTTTTTGACGTGATGCACGAAGCCTAAGCAATTGCTTAATTTGCTTAATCCGGCACTGGTCCTAAAGGTGTACATGAAAACTTATAGTTAACTTACCAGAATTGCCAAATTAGGCACCACCAGGGTGGCGTTCAGGTCTATACTGTTCTCGCCAGGCAAGTATATGGGGTAGCGCCGCGCGGTGTACGTCAGGGTACTGTTCTCGTTGAAATGGATGTTGGAGTGGATCAGCTTCTCTCTGGAAACAAAACAACATTCTGTAAGTATCAAGTCATAATATATTTTCTACAAAATAGGCTTTTAGAAAGCGCTTACACGCCTCAGTATTATGTACTTTAGCTCTGCCACTGCTTCGGGACAATAAATGTGCCAGTGCTGAGAAGAAGCAGCGCAAGAAACTCACGTCACCTTTTGCCACCAGCCTCAATTATAAAACGAATGCCTGTTTTCACCATCAATCCTTAATTTTTAAGTGACCTACCTATATGAAAACAAAATTCCTGTTGTGTGTTACCATAGGAGTCACTTAAAAATTAGGGATTGATGGTGAAAACGGGCGTAATTCTTCTTCCACAGATGTGTTCGCGATATTGGACAGATTTTTATGGAGTGGGAGTCGTAAGAAGCGACTCAGGGAAAAACTATATGCGAACATCAGGCCTCCCCAACCTGTCTTCCCAGCGTGGGGAGTGTAGACCAAATCCTCCATTAGGACATGGGGCACACTGAAAACCAGCGCCGTGGCCTTCGTCACCGTGGGCCACGGCATATGCTGAGTGGGGTCCCGTTGCAGTGGGCATCTTGTTGGTGGATGGGTGGCACTGCTCAGTTGTTTTTATTTTTTCTTCTTCCATTATTATGTGCCACTGTCATGTCTATGTAATTGCCTGTATTTGTGTGATGTCCATTGTAATAAATGTGTCTTTCTTTCTTTCTTTCTTTCTTTCTTTCATTAGCCTCTGGTAAATTAGAGATCGTGCTCCTGCAGTGGAGAACTAAATGACATGATGATGTTAATGATAATGATGATGATGACTTGATTAAAAAAATAAAACCGACTTCAAATGCGTGAACACAAAAAAAAACTAAAAATTAAAAATATTGCGTATAAAAAAGTTCAACCCCAATTTTCCACCCTTGGGGGTGAAATATTTTCTTCAAATTCGCATGAAACCACCCTTTTGATAATACCTATTCAACAAAAAAATAATCGTTCAAATTGATTTATAATCGGCGGAGATATTGCGTATAAAAAAGTTCATCCCCAATTTTCCACCCTTGGGGGTTGTTTTTTCTATTATTAAATTTAAATGGGACCACCCTTGAGGTATTACCTATACGCCGAAAAAAGATTTGTTCAAATCGGTTCATAATTGGCGGAGTTATCGCGTAACAAACATAGAAAAAAAAAACATGCCAGAAACTGGGTATTAGCATCATATTATGTATTATTATGTTCAATACAAACAATCATTAAGTTACACTCACCCCAACCGCGTCTCCGCATTGCATCGAATCCTATGAAAATGTGGTTTTTGGACATAGCAATACTTATTTTTCACAATTTTTATTTTTAAAAATTACTGGTCGATAGGTTACTTTATTTTGAAGAATAAATGTTATTAAAAGTTTTTTTCTAAAACTGATAGTTTAGCCGGAAAAAAATATTTTCCATCCCATTAGTACGCCGGCTGCGCTCGATTCGGATATAATGACGTCACGCGGCCTTGCGTACGTTGACTTTTAGCGGCAAAAACGGCCTATGTTTATTACTTAATATCTTCGTAAGTAATGGTCCGATTTGGATAATTCAAAAAGATATATTTTTCTTATGTTTTAAAGATTAACGTAGATACTAGTTTTATTGAATTTTCTACAACAGTACTGATCCTCATTGATAACCTCCTCCTTTTTTTAAGTCGGTTGAAAATGAAAGACAGGTCATTCGCACCAAGGCATTTAAAGATATTGACTGAATGAACTGGGCAAATCTCAGTAGATCTAATGATAATAATATCATAAAGTCCTGAATAGACTCCTTTTCTATAGACTAATTCCACCAGAGACCATTGGTGCCTATTTGGTGCTAATTGCCACATTTTTGGATAACAAAAAAATATAATAGCTACTTTTAGTCATTAAGTAGCTATTTTTAAATGGTAAATACCTACTTTTTTGCTACAGAAATCTATTGCAGGTCTCAATAAACAAAACGAGCAAAAACAGCTACTACTATTACGCTAAAAAAGTGATAAAAACCTATTATGAAATAAGTTAAACAACCCGAGTGGTAGGACATTTTTTGCTTGATGACACTGTTATAATCACAGGACTCTGACTTTTTGACGTCATGTTTGGTACTAAAAATAGTAGAATCTGTACTAAGGCTGGGCTCTGGCTCCATCGCCCTTTGGGTGATCTTGAGCCTTCTTATGAGGCCCATAGGCGACCAGTATCGTGTTTCATACTTACAAATAAACAACGGGTCCTATCTCTCTGACGTCCATCTTCTCGTCAAGGCCGCTCAGGAACCGCTCGTGGTTGGTCACGTTGAAGACGTAGACCCTCAGCTTGACCTCGTCGGGGGGGTCCGCCCACCACTCGTAGGGAGGAAAACCTGGAACAAGATATTAAGTTCTATAAGAATTTGAGGAGATATAGCCCAAGGTTTCGGTGTCGGTCTTAAAATGCTAGCTCGAGCGCTACCCTTGAACTAAGTTAGCACAGAATAAGTAATAGTCCTGCGCTGCCCGCATCCAGGCTCTTCCCGCGACCTTTACCAGATCGTCGGTCTATGTTCATTATGGAAAACCTTGGGGGAGGCCTTTGTCCAGCAGTGGACGTCATTTGGCTGAAACGTCGAAGTAATAGTACTAAGGGTATTAGGCTTGTTCCCACAAAGACATCCAGTTTTTTGCAGGAACTGTTTTTTTCAAACGCGCAATACTGGATCCTTCAAAACAGAATTGCCGTGGGAACGAGTCCATAAAGTGAACCCTTTCCATCACATATAGTTCAAGTGCATCTTTACAAACATCTTGTCACATGTCTGTGACCAGCATGCATCCCAACTGAGGCAGGCAAAAAATATCAAGCCACGTGTGCGTGTCAATCAATCAATCGCCTGATTGTCATTGAATGATTGTTTTTAACACTGATGGAATGTTAATTAATAGCAGTATTTTTAATCACAAGGAAAATGATTTCGTAAAAACTACCCGACAAGTTTGTTTAAGAAATGAACCTCTATCTAACCAATCTACTGAAGATTGACTTATCCCTCTATCTGGAGTAAAATGTTCCCGAATTTCAGCCTTCAGTCGTATCAGCAGTATTTAAAAAAATCTAATTCTGCCAGGATTACGTAATTGCAGCAGATATTTTTTTTGCCTATTGGCATACATTAGTTTAATGGGTCTAGGTCTCTAGGTAGGTATTATAACTTAAACAAAACAACCCAACTCGATTAGGTATCCTATTGTATTTTTATCTCGGTCACCTTTACTTTTTCTTTGATCTTTTTGCGATAAAAAAGCAAGAAAACACAATACAACTTTATTTTACAACTAGCTGTGCTCGCGACTTTGTTTGAATAATTTCTCGATTTTGCAACATTTTTCTTTACTGCTCCGCTATTTTGGCTGTAGGGTGATATGAAAAAAGCCTTCCTCGATAAACGCAAAAATATTTTTTCAAATCGGTCCAGCCGGGCTAGGATGCTCGCGTGACAAAATCTTATTGATGATTTTAGACGACAAACGTATGGGCTTATCACGTAAAATCGATAAAAAGGCGCGAAAAGAACTCGCGGCGCGCATCCTAGGCCTAACAGTAGTTCCTGAAATTAACGCGTTGAAGCAAACAAACTCTTTAAATTCATATACATATTAGTACTAGCTGTGCCCGCGACTTCGGACGCGTGAAAATCCGTTTTCGCAACATTTTTCATTGTTGCTCTGCTCCTATTGATCGTAGCGTGATGTTGTATCTGCCTATTTAGCTTTCGTCGATAAATGGGCTATCTAACACTGAAAGAATTTTTCAAATCGGACCAGTAGTTCCGGAGATTAGCGCGTTCAAGTAAACAAACAAACAAACTCTTCAGCTTTATAATATTAGTATAGATATAGATTCATGTCATGATGATGTCATGTAGGTAATGGCCATGGCATAGTAACTCCTTCAGCTTTGATCTTGAAATTCAAATTAACCGCCTCTGTGGTCTAGTGGTAAGACCACCTGCTTCAGACGCAGAGGCCCCGGGTTCGATTCCCAGTGGGGGCAGATTTTTCTGTTCGGTTTGGTTGGTGGTAGGGCTTGTTCTAAGTCCGCCTGGCTAGCTACCACCATCTTACCTAAGTCTGTCGCCATAACAACAATGTTAACAGCATTGTTGTGTTCCGGCAGTTAGAGGTAAGATAGCCAGTTCCTCCGTGGTTGAGGATTCCGGGTGAAGCTCGCTTCCACCTTCGGCCTGATCGTCACTTACCATCAGGTGAGATACAGGCCAAGAGCTTCCTCGTTGTGGATAAAAAAAAAAAAAAAAATTATAGTGCATCGAAAACTGCATGACGTAACAAGAGGATGTGAAAAAAGGTAGCACTAAAGGTAGACAGACAACTTTGTGATCAACAACTTTTTTCAATCTAGTTACATCCTAATAATTGCGACAACATTTAAAATTTTGAGATAGTTGAAAAAGCCTATTTTGCGATCATTTTTGCATATGTCATAGTCAAAGGTCGATATGCAGTCTCTTCGCGGAATGACTGGTCTATCCTAGGTTTGACCAAGGCCTTCAGGAAAACCCCGAAGTAAATTCTTATTTCGGCCTTTGACTAAGTCAAACCTAGAAGTGCCTAAACAGTTCAGTCAAACGTCGAAACTAAAATAATCTGTTTCGGGCTTTGCCTAGTCAATCCTAGAAAAGACTGACAGACTCGGTCAAAAGTAGACGGCAAATAGAAAACCAGCCATGTGTGAGTCGGATTCGCTCACGAAGGGTTCCGTGTGACTCTTTTGTTGTATGGGAGCCCCCTTAAATAGTTATTTTATTTTAATTTTATAATTTATTTTTAAAATGCAACTAATATTATGTGAATATTTCAAGGGTTCACCTGTTTACGTTTTAATTAATATCACGTAAAAAACTGCAACAAGTCACGTTTGCTGTATGGGAGCCCACCTTAAATATTTAAGTATTTTATTGAATTATTTATTTTTTAAGTGAATAATTCATGAGATACGAGCAATACGAGCATGGTGACAGACAACATTAGCGAAGTCATAATAATAGGGTGTAAACTCTTTATCCTTTAAGGTAACAGAACCCTAAAAATTGGTAATTAATCAAGATCGATCTAGAAACACCGACAACCAACCTCAGTACTGTATAAGTTTAGTTACTCGTACCTTCACCTAAAGAGATAGCTGCGCGTGCGCGTGAAAACCGACCGTCGTAACGCCTATGCAATAAGTTCGAGATCAGAATTAAGTATAGTTTAGTTTAAAGTCTTAATTCAGGTTTGACTAGTAACCCCGATTTCATTAAATTGAGTTTCGACCTTTGCCTGACCAAATTAGTTACTCCTAGGTTTGACTAACATTATTTAGTCAAAGGCCGAAATGTTTGGGCTTTGACTAAGACTTCTAGTCAGACCTGAGGATTGACTAGTCAAACCTAGGAGTGCCGGAACTTCGAGGTTTGACTATAACACATACATGGAATCGGTGGGGCCTTTTCATCTTTTACTAAAAGACTAAAGAATTTCCAAATCTAGCTCTATATAAATGTATGTAGCGCATTTATGTGATGTTACGTAACTCCCTCCCACCCTCTTGTAAGAAAAAATAAGACATGGTCGACCCCCCTTCCCCCCTTAATCATCTTACGTAATAAATGAAAGGCCCCTTTTGATCTATTTCTGATTTTTATGAATAATTTTGTAACATTCTTATTTTTAGTATTTTTGTAATAGTGTGAAAACTTCAACTGGTTTTTATCCTTTGGATACGGACCCCTAATCTGCCCAAACCTTCGACCCTGTAATAGAGGGAGTTTTGTGGTCGACTCATCATTACGCGACACATGATAATTTAGCGTACGTAGGTCATGTCCAATAATTCGTAAATTATTATGTGTATTGGACTTTCAATGTTCGATTTTTTGTCGACATTACGCATTCGTTCGTTTCAGTTAAAAACCGGCCAAGTGCGAGTCGGACTCGCGCACCGAGGGTTCCGTACCATTAATTTATGAAATTAAAATTATTATTTTTTATTTAAGTTATTAGTATGAAAGATTACGCGGTAATAAGCGGTTTACGATTTACGAGGTATTAAAAAAAACTACTTACTAGATATCGTTCAAAACAATTTTCGTTGGTAGTTTTTACATGTTTTTTTTTAGATTTTTCATTTTCTTATTTTAGAAGTTAGAGGGGGGTAGGGGACCAACTTTTTTCCACTTTGGAAGCGTCTGTCACGCAAACTATTCGGTTCAGAAAAAAAGTATTTTAAAAACCTCGATATCATTTTTGAAGACCTATCCATAGATACCCCTTCCACATTGACCGGTTTCTGGTAGTCCATCCAGGGCCTTCCTGCTACCTTTAAGAGGACGTCTGTCCAGTGTCCACCTTGTGGCTACATGGCATCCATTCCAGCACCTTGCTGCCCCATTGGCCGTCAGTTCTGCCTATGTGCCCTGCCCATTGCAACTTCAGCTTGCTAATCCGTCGGGCTGTGTCAGTGATTTAGTTCGTTTACGGATCTCTTCGTTTCTGATTCGATCTCGTAAAGAAACACCTAGCATTAGCCCTCTCTATAGTACTACACTCTGAAACAAAATGTGACTCTGTGCAGTTGAAGAGTTCTTCAAGCCACGTATCAGAAGTCAGAACCAATGTCACCCCGGTAACACACGCTGATTGTAGACTTTTGTCTTTAGGCACTGAGGATTTTGGACTAAAGTTTCAATCAACCACACCAACGCATGCAAATCATAGGCCAACAGCGTTGCCAGACGTCCCGATTTTGGCGGGACGTCCCGATTTTTTAATCAAATTTAAATGTCCCGCGCGGGACAGGCTCGGTCCCGCTTTTCGGAGAGAAACACTCACTTCACCAGACTATTGTTTGAAACGCCATATTATTGTTAATAATAAAACTTTTTTAATTTCGATATTTTTTCTTTTTTTATTCTAAAGACGAATTTAATGATAGAGTAAATCTGTACCTCTAGCATGAACAACTTTCGTCTTCGAATCGTTTGCGTATTCGATAAAGTTCGATACTCAACCTTCGAATTAAACGATAACGTGACAATTTTGATTCTCAAAATAAGTTTCGTGCAACCATTTCTTACACTAAGTTCACTTTACGACACGTCCACAAGGGTGCTGTTGCAGTTTTCGTACTAAATCTTTTGATGGCGATTTGAGTACGCAAACGATTTGAACTCGAAAGATTTTCGTGCTAGTAGTACTGATTTAAAATATTATTTTTTTGTAAAAATACATTTTCTATGGCTACTTTTGCTATCTATTGTCACGTAAACGTAATTTTAAGTCATATAAAAAGATAAATATTTGAAAACCTTTGATTATTATACGTTTTTTTTACTATGTCCCGCTTTTGACGGAAGAATCCCGCTATTTTCACTCAAAAAGTACCAAAGTCCCGACTTGGCGAAAAAAAAAACTGGCAACGCTGTAGGCCAATGACAGGTCGCGCGATCCATGAGCCGGCAATGGCGATCTGCACGCGTTGGTGTAATTGAAGCATAAAGATGTCATGTAGATTCTATCACCATTAAATTACATACCTGGCCTCATATTCAGCTTCTCCCATAGCATTAGGTCTAAGGGGGTGAAGATGAACCCTCCAATGGATATCAACAGGAGGAGCACACCCCACACGCACTGGCTCACTGCGTCTGTAACAAGTAAAGCTATTGTTATAGGATTCTAGAAAAAGAAGAAGGTAGGTTGGAGTCTCCGTAGCCTACAGAGTTTTTGTCGGCTGATAGTTTGATTGGGCTGTTAATTAAACTGCTAAAACTTTTACACGGAAAATGGCCTAAGTATCTTCATTCTTCACTATCTGCAGGTATTTGCGCATGGTTGTCTAGGGCTTGTTCTATTCTTCAAAAGGTAACAAACAAACAGTTACTTTCGCGTTTATATTCAAAGTCAAAGTCCAAATTTCTTTATTCGTTTAAACTAATAAATACGTTCTTACAAATAAATAGTTCTTATTAATTTACATTAATGTGTATGAAAATGAATCGATTGCAAGATGAATTTTATTAACTTCTATTGCTTGTTTATTTTAATTACCAGCTTACAATAAATCTTTGTCAGGAACACACCATTGTAAAACCCAAAAAAACTTCGTATTTTGCAACACCTTCGACAATATAATTATGATAAATAACTAATTAAAATACATTAATAAATTGCGAAACCTGGCACCATTGTCTACCAAGCAATTATGTTAAAGAGTTCCTTTAGCAAAAATGTTACCCAACTATTACCAAGTTCCGTCAATTTTATTGTAACTGCTGCATTTTATGGCCAAGGGTAAAATGATTTGAGGCTCTAAAGACGTACTTAACTGTTATTATAATTAACACCTGCTAAGCTTTTGTTTTTCTAGAAAATGATGTTGGTTTCCACATCGTTCAAGTCAGTTGGAGAGGAAGATAGTGGGCACAAGTGGAGGCCATTTTAAATAGCCGCCCCTTGTACCCACTATCTTCCAAATAACGTTTACCTACTGAAGGACAAAGGCCTCCTCCAAGGATTTCCACAACGACCGGTCTTTACTTAGGTAGCATCATCATTGCTGGTAGTCCACTTGGTTGGCTACCACCATCTTGTTACTTGTCTTTCGCCATAGCAAAAATGTTAACAGCATTGTTTCGGCAGGTGGAGGTAAGATAGCGAGTTCCTCTGGTTGAGGATTCCGGGTGGAGCTCGCTTCAACCTTCAGCCTGATAGTCACTTACCATAAGGTGAGATGCAGGCCAAGAGCTTCCTCGAAGTGGGTGAAAAAAGTTAGTTTAATAGGAATTTCTCTCTTCCAAGTCACTGAGCGAGCAAGACGTACACACAGGCTTGACTAGTGCTGCTAAAACCTATCACTCAATTTTGACTTCTACTCGGTGNAGTTACATTTTTTTTTTACTCCTTTTGCTTTTTTTACTTCATGACTGTTTGTTCTAATACTGTATAATTAATGATTAAACGAACTTAAAAAGTGAAGTTCTATCATAATTATGCGAGGGCTTTGTCCGAAGAGATTAGAAATAAGAACTATGTAGTATCACGTACGGTGATGCTAGTTTACGCACTGTTAGTTGAGGATATATTTTTTTTTTGTGGGTATCTCACTTTACATCTTATTTGACATTGGTATCCTTCGTCAGTTGGTTTGGAGTAGTAATTTGTATTTTTTATCATTTCACTAATATGGGGGTTTGTGTTTTTAATAATATACATATATGATTGTTAAAGACGGGTGGGAGGGTTTCTAATCTCTTCGGACAAAGCCCTCGCATAATTATGATAGAACTTCACTTTTTTTCGTCCAAGTCACTGAGCGAGCAAGACGTACACCCGGGCTTGACTAGTGCTGCTAAAACCTATCACTCAATTTTGACTTCTACTCGGTGCATACAAAGTTGATTTTAAAGTGGAAACCTCCTGTCGCTTACTACGTTCATCGCGGCACAGCACGGCGAAACAACAGGCAAGCTACCCACTTCTTATATTTGCACGCAAAGTCATTCTAAGCCAAATATAGTATAACCAAAATCTGCAGACAAAACATGCAGCGTACTCCAAAGGCTAGTTATCAAAACATATTCTCCTCTCAGCCTGATCTCAGTTCTGGGAGTGAATTGAATGACATCGTGAGAAATATTAATCTCAGGAAGCGCAAAAATCCGGAAATGAGCATAGATATAAATGACCTCCAGGACACTTTAATGCAATCCTTTAAAGAGATGCTTAACAAAGAAGTTTCTGAAATGAAACAACAAAACATACAAATACTACAATCAAATGCTGAAATCATAAAACTACTACAAAGTAACTCCGCTAGCCTGATACAAGCAAATGAAAAGATAGCTGCTCTCGAATCAGCGCATACTGCGGCTTTGGAAAGAGTTAGTGAACTTGAATCACAACTGCATGAAGTGCAGAAACAGCAAATCAAGAACACTGTGGAAGTCAGAAACGTCGTGAGAGATGATAATGAAAATCTTAGGGACATATACAATCAGCTGTATACTAGCCTAAACATACAACCTGAGGTCACTGTTCCGCTCATATATCGAAAAGGCAAGAACAACACATCTCCTATCGTGATTGAGTTCCAGGATTCCAACAAAAGAAATGAACTTATAAACGCCGTTAAAAAATTCAACGGGAAGGAAGTTGAAAAATTGAATACTAAGCACTTAGGTCTAAAAGGCGAAGAGAAAAGAGTCTATGTCTCAGAGGCAATTACTTTCACGACCAGGAGATTATATGCAGCTGCTCGTGAACTTGTGAGGGGTGGTTACTTTAAGTATTGCTGGATATCTCGTGGTAACGTTTTGGTTCGTAAGGATGAAGGTCTACCAGCCGTGTTAGTCAAATCACTTAATCAAGTGGATGAACTACGCTCCACATGACTACTAAATGTATTACTACTAAGTCTTGTTCATACTCTTAAGTTAGTTGGACATTTTTTTGTCTATTTTTTGTTTACATATTATATACAATCAATTTATTTAACTGATATCATGCCACACATAAATATACATAAATGTAACACTCTTATAGTACTATATATCGCAACTGTTATTTTTTATACAATAATATTATCTTTACTCATAATTTTTATGTTAACACAAATTTATCTATTGTATTATATTCACTCAGTGCATCACATTTCCACAACTGCCCTTGCATCTGTCATTTCTGTGCTTGCAGCATCATGCATCAACCGAAGAACCATCACCTTTTTTTTATATTGAATCTAAACTCCGAAAATGGTTAATGATCTAATCTTAGTTTCCACCGACGTTGATCACGAGGTCAACGCTGGGGAATCACTTCTGGTTGATGATGCTTGTAATATCTGCAAGTTGGATTCTGAACCTGGAAGTTCTGTCAAGGTTATTGCCCAAAACATTAGAAGTATCAACAAAAACTTTGATAACTTTAATGTATTCTTGCAAATGTGTAATATTGATTTTGACCTCATCGTGTTGTCAGAATGTTGGTTGCAACATTGCGATAATATACCGACTATGGATCATTATACCAGCTACCATACCTCGAAACTTATAAATCAAAACAGTGGCGTGGTTGCCTTCGTACGTGATAATATATCTGATGTAAATGTATATCAGCCTGCCTTAATAAAGGACGCTGATTGCCTTGTCGTTAAGTTTGGAAGCCATCATGCCTTTGTCTGTGTCTATAGATCTCCATCATTTGCATCATGTTCTAATTTTTTCCAATCTTTAGATGATCTACTGACAAAACTTAAACACATACCTAACATTTATATCATCGGTGATTTGAACATTGATATCAGTATTGATAACTATGATCCACGATCGGATGAATACCTAAACTTACTTGCATCTCATGGACTTATACCAAGCCATACAATATATACCAGAGATGCAAAATGTCTAGATCACTGCATAGCAAAATCTAAAACTAAAATACGTACTGTTATCTGTAACTCCTCTGTGACTGACCATAGCTGTGTTTGTGTTGCTATACCACTTTCTGATAACTATCAATATAAAAAAGTGGAAAAGATAAATAGTAAAATAAATTATCATAAGGTCTGTAGTATGCTTCAAGATACAAACTGGGACGAATTCTTTGCGACAGAGAACCCCAACAATGCTACTGAACTGTTCACTAAAATACTATCTAACATTATAGAAAAATCAACGGTAACGTATAAGATCTCTAATAGAAAACTAACACGCCAGCCCTGGGTCACACCTGGCCTTTTAAGATGTATGCGTTTTCGAGATACACTGCACAGGCGACACAAAAGGTCGCCTGATAACCTAGATCTAGCACTCACTTATAAGCGTTATCGTAACCACTGCAACAGCATCCTTCACAATCTTAAAAATGACTATAATAGAAAGGAACTACAGAAAAATAAAAAAGACATTAAAAAAACCTGGGATACCATTAAACGTGTGTGTAATTTAACTAAACCTAATAAATCACACACACCAACTGAGCTACTAACACTTAAGTCAACCCCACGGGAATCTATTGACTCAATAAATGACTTTTTTGTAAACGTAGGCAGCAATCTCGCTGCAGATATTTTGCAGAATATTAATTCATCGGAAGAACAATTAGCCTTACAGTATAAGCCCGATTACACACATCCTCAATCATTCATGCTCTTGGAAACTGACCTACTGGAAATAACTAAAATAATTAGCTCTCTAAAAAACACATCTTCCTGTGGTTGGGACGGTATTTCCTCGGTATTCATAAAAAAGTACATTGACTACTTAGGCTACCCCATCGTCCATTTATGCAACCTTTGTCTATCTAAAGGTGTCTTCCCGAAATTACTAAAGAAATCTATAGTGATTCCTGTTTTCAAGTCAGGGGACAGAAGCAGCGTATCGAACTATCGGCCTATATCTCTTCTACCTACGCTGGCGAAGATCCTGGAGAAACTGATAAATCGACGTCTTGTAAATTATCTGGAGACTCACAACTTTTTGTCCAATAATCAATTTGGCTTTCGAGAAAAAATATCTACTGTTGATGCCATCGAAAACCTTGTTAATCATGTNCTTTTTTTTTAAATGGGTTGTTCTTTTGAATGGTTTACGACATGCAGCTGTGACTATTAGTTTTTTTTTTTGCCAAGCAAAGGATCTCT